AAGTAGCCAGTGTTCTATGACCAGTCAATTTGCTCCAGACTAGCAAGGGTCAGACATCTGTATTGTGACATAGTTCAGTAACAAGTACTTACCTTTCTGCTCGAGTATATCAGTTTCATCAGCTCTTCCTTTCAAGTTCTTTGGCAAGTGGAAAACCTTCAGGTTTTTAGTGAGCCTGAAAGTCACTATAAATTGTAGAATCAGATGGGAGCTCCCACAGAGAATGAAAATAAATCACCTATGTGCAAATGACACTTTCATCATTCGGTACAATGAAGCAAGTTGCAATTGTCCCATAAATGAGCAGCATTCTACATAAATATGTAAATAAGTAGCTGCGTATAGAGTGTTAACTTAGATGTTTCTTTTGCATAGACTGTGTGATCACAAATCTGCTTGGGTTTTTGGGTGGCAGGAGCTGTCATTTGGAATTACTTGACTGCATAGCAAAGCACCTAGTGAGAGCATCAGTATTTCCAGCTGCATTGCTGGGAGCTAATGGGATTTTGTGCTCTGTCAGCTTACAGCTGACTTGAGGTGGGGGTTCTTCACCGAAAAGGCTTTCATACCATCTCAGGATATGGTATGGAGAAGTGTTTTTGCCCATGTTTGGTAGCTCTAAGACCGTACTGTATTTTAAAATAGCTTCTCTGAGAAAAATTCCAATGCAATTCAGAGAAAACCCTCTTCAAGATACCACGAGTGCCCCTGGGGACTAATCAGCCTGCTGGCTAACCCTTTTGGCTTGCTAGCATAGCCAGGAGGCAGGAGGACGACCTGCATGCTGCGTGCCTGAGAGGTCTGCTGGGCAGCCTGCGAGAGCACTGAGTCACTACACCTTGGGCACAGGCCCATGGAGGCTGGTGCCTTATGCATCATTCTCCTGATAGTGTTGCCTCCCTGGCCAGCTTTTCTGGCATGGGATTTCCCCATAGCTGTCCTATATGGAGCAAACTGGGTTTTTCTTGTAAAGGCAGTTCTGAGTCTGAGACTTGCATGATTTATTCTTAATAGCCACGTGGTATCAGGCTAACTAGAGTTAAATTATATATGCTTACTAAAATGTTTCTGAAATAGAAACTTGTTTTTAAAATCAAGGTAAAATTTTGAGTAGGTGTGCTCTGATGATGCTTTTTTTGTATTGTTTAGATTAATACGACTTGAAGTGCTTATCTGAAGTTTGCATGTTTAGGCAAGCGTGCTTATTTAAAACAAACCAAAACACCAGTGTCCTGACAAACACCACATCCACATTTGCTGGTGTGCTAAGTCAAATGTGAGAGATCAAAATGAGATGCTATAGATTTTAACTTGTGTTTTCCCAGCGTGCAGCATGATCCTTGCCTGAGTCAGGGGAATAGTTAAAGTGCAAGAGGAGACTTTAGTGTCACGTCTCTCCATTCTGGGAGCCAGCACTCAGCTTTAAGGACAACAGCTCCGATCTTGAAGACACAGGCTCTCCTTCCAGAAGAGCATGTGTAGCTGAGGGTTGATTTCCTATGGGATTATTATATAAAGGCATGCATTTATTGCTACAGTAGATTCTGTTCTCAAATACATAAGCATGGTTTGTTTTTTTTTTAATATTTCATTGACAAAGCTTATCTTGTTTCTTTCTTTAAATGGTTTTCTGAGATAGGCACGTGGTAAAACACTTCATTGTACTGTGTGGTGATTCTGTTTGCAGTGTCCTGCCTTTGGTATGTTTGACCTTTATTTGCTCAAACGTTTTTACTGAGTTCATGAAATTGATACCAAAATTTGTTTGAAAGTGCCAATAGTGTGTAAAACACTTTTGTTTTTAATTGCAGTCTGTGATGTTTTGCCTTTAAATAAATATAGCTTTTTTGGAAAAAAAAACTGATTTTATTAACTGACTTTCTAGTTCCAGGGGAGAGAATGGAGAGGTTTTGTTTGCCTTCATTGAGATTAGTGTTACATTTATTATGACCATACGAACGATTTGGATTCCTTACCAATAATCCCTAGCATAATAAATATGAACATTTCTTAATGAAACATTATTTTTTCCATCTTACTGTTTTAAAGCGGCTTGTTTGACCTCTAGTGTTAAGCTATGAAATTGCATCCCATTGACACAAAAATACCTTTTATTTCAGAAAAGCCAGTCTCCCCCAAATCAGGTACATTGAAGAGTCCACCTAAAGGCTTTGATACGTCTGCAATCAACAAAAGCTATTACAATGTGGTGAGTGGACCTTTTTCCTCCTTGTGAGCTTTTTATATATAGTAGAACCTCATTTAATTAAATGCTCTTGTCACTACAATGAAATTGAGCCTTGTCAGAACCCTAGTGTTGAAACTGGATAGGAATTTTAGTGAGTTCTCACACAAACAAGATCATTTCAGTTTAATGAAATATCACGCATATGGATTCTAAGCATGATTCAAAATTATAGTCTCAAGTAAATGAGTAATATGCATTAATGTAATGTATTCTGCTCATTTTACTTGCTTGGCTAGTTGTTAATTTCATTTCTCTCACCTTAATATGCAGTCGCTCTTCTCCAGCCACTATAAATTAATGAAATTCTGATGTATGAAAATGATTAAGAATATTTTGTTCTTTTGTTGTACAAGACATTGAACATCTGCAATGATTTACCTTTTTTGTATTCATGCTTATAAGTCGACCTGGTTATTAACTTCCAGAACCTCTCCCTTATAACTGACGAATTGATTTTGTGGCAGAATTTGCATAGCTAGAAAATATGGATTGCCTTTAGTAGGCACCCAGGGGTTCTTTAGTCTAATATTTGTACCTCTTTAATAGATAAGAAATGTGAAATCTAATCTTTAAACCTGATGTAACCATTTTGCGAAACCTTTGTTTACTAACAGGAGATACTTTGGGAAGCAAAAACAGTATGATGCTTTTTGTTAACCACTGCTCCCTGCTGGTGTAAGAAGAAAGCACAGGCATTCTTTCCTTTTTCTTTGAACCACTGTCTTTGGTTTTCTTTTCTCTTCATCTTATTTGTCAGGGTTAGAAGGACCATCAGCATCATGTCATGCTTTCATCTTTTGTGATTGTGGCATGGATAACATGAACCACCTGGAGAACGGAGCAGTTTTGCATATAGGCTTCTATTTGAAAATACTGAAGCACCCTCCTGCTCCTCCCCACTCACTTGCATGATTTGTCTGTCAACAGCCATAATTCCATGGCAAATGATGGGCTCTGATGCTTTGGCTGTTGCGTTCCACGCCTGCTAGTCTTGATGAAAATGATTGATGAAGGCACATATCTTCAAATAGAAGAAATAATGCTCTCACTGTACTACATGCAGCAACAAAATACCTGATTGCTTCCATTTTTACTTTTTCCCTGTGTATCTTCATAGCCCATTTCACTCTTTTTTTTTTTTGAAGTTGCTGTAGTGTGATGGTTGTTTCTCTTTAATTGCTGTTTTGATGTTAAAACCTATAGTTTTTTTTCTGTACAAGAAAACAGGAATGAATACACAAATATAGCAAAGATAAGGTTTAATTGTTTCAGTGGGTAAAAGAGTGCTTTTACTTCAATTGAACATATATCCATTGTGACATTTTAGTCAAAATAAGCTGACATTTTATTATTTTTTATAAGAGGGCTGCTAAATATTAGAGTTTCTCTGATAGGCCCACGTATTACATACAGTCATAATAAATATGCCTAGTGTAATAATAATATCATCTGTTAAATCAGGGTTTAGTTAAAGCTCCAGTTTGACTGTGTCCAAAACAAGTTAAATCTTATGTTTGCCTATTTTACTTAATAATTTAGGCCAGTTTCAGGGGTAACAGTGTACTTCATTGAAAATAAAAAAAGTAAATGTTTGAAAGTAAATGGCTAAAACTATGGTTAAGGAGGATAAGTTACAAAAGGCCATACAGTTTTGAAGTAATGTCTTTGTTTTCTTTTTATAATTGTTTCCTGAATAACATATTGCCATTATCACAGAAATTTGAGTTACTATCCGCTTTAGGAAGCCATAGTTACGTTCTAAAGTTGTCTTTGTTCCTGTTGTAAATGATAAATAGTGACATTGGTGACATCATACACTCAGAATTAGGCTATTTTTCACCTTGATCAGGTGCATTCATCTGATGGGATAAGTTTTCTTCAGTTTTGACTGCTAGCTATTTATTAACTAATGAGGGTCTGTTGTGTCCTGAGGGGCAAAACTGACTTATCCATAATAATATAGATAGTAAATTAAAGCATTGGCCCTAGAATATTGTTCTTAAGTCTGTTAGCAGTGAATTAGATAATTGTTTTGTTTTCACCTTTTTCTGCACTGTAACGAATACCTCCAATTTTTAATCTCGTCACCTTACTATTTTTGTTTAAAGAATGAGAGGCTGTGCTATAGCATGCACTTTGTTTCCAAGAGGTAAGACTTTATTGCTGTTCTTAAAACTTAAATTAGGATAGAGGGCATCTACATTTTCTTGAAAAATTCTAAGTGCTTACTATGGCAATATAATCCAAATAATTATTTTAAGTCTTTAATATGTAGTGATATTTATAGGTAGATTAATATTCAAACAGTTTAAACTGTGAATTGAGTTTTTGTTCTGTTTTGCTGCGTAAACTGCAACTCCTGCTTTGTATAACTGGTCGTTGTTACAGATGTGGTTCTTCCCTGTGATAAACATTTCATCATCAATCCACATGGAACCCATACTAAGGGTCAAAAAAGAGTAGCTCCTAATGAACTGTAGATGAAAGAACATGGCCTGAGTTAGAGTAAGCATTAAAAACTGTGTTGCTGTCACTTGACAGCCAGGCATGTTCTGGGACTGGTATGCTGGGATTCCTTGCTACTGTTGAGTTGTGACTGTATTCCTTCATAGATACTGAGACGCTGTAAACCTCATGACTGTTTGTTGCTATCTTTCCTAGGGAAGGATTTGTGCTGCAGGTAGCACCTGTGAGTGTGTTGGTCAGCCTGAGGAAAAGAATCAAAGGACAGTTCAGAGGAAACTCAGGAAGTGGTAGGAGAGGCTTTGCTAATCTCCCCTTCTGGGAAAACAACTGCATAGGCTCAGGAAAGTGCTTAAAATGAAGATGAGACTGCTTTCTTCTGTTCTTCATCTCCGTGTAAACATGTTTATGGATTTGCAGAACTCCAGCTGAAATTCATAACACAGATCATGATGGTCTCTGCTTTGTTAGTGGTGCCTTGCAGTTGGGGTTGCTTAAAAGTATGGGATACATTTGGTTTATTGTTACGCTTTGCCTAGTTGGAGACTGGGGGTTAGTGGAGCGTCTGTGCTGCAGCATCTTCTCCATTAAATGGTACAAGACTGAACAGGATATAATATGGACCAGACTTGTTGGAAGTGTTTCCAACTTGACCATGTAGAAGTAATTCAGTAGCCTGCCACTGAAGAAGTGAAGTGATTGTATTATTGCGTGTTATTCCCTGAGGACAGAATGGGTTATGTTTTATTTTTTCTTGTTGTTTCCTTGAGAATTTAAAACTTGGCATCCCACATAAAATTATCTTGGCTTAGAAGATAATTGTGTGGAGTCTAAGCAGCTTTTCTAAAAGCTAGTAAAGAAATGGACAGCATTCTCTACAGTATGAGTATTTTGATAAGCGATTGGAAAACAACTGTGCCTTTTGAGGCCCTGCTTTTTAAGTTGGAGCAAGTGTTTGTATTTATCAAAGTTCATGAATGTTTGAAAGGGCACTGGAGATAATGGGATACTTTTATGGTGCTTTACACTGCTCCTCTTGAGACCTCTTTTAGGGAATATAGTCTGAGTTTCATGATCCAGGAATATTAGACATTGACTGCTTTTGCTGAACGTGCGATACTCCACTTGAATGCTTTATTGCCTGCATAAAATGAGAATGTACTGCAGGATCATGCCCAAGTGCCACTATGAAATCTGCTTTTTTTCCCTGTGTTGGAAGGTGATCAGCTTTGCGTAGGTCATTTAAATCCGTTTTTGGGTGGTAGCTTTCCCCTTAGGGAAATGACTGGGGTTTTGTGTGACAGAATTGTTAACCAAGCTTGAATTTTCCATGCCTTGTGATTGAGAGAGCTTGTGCTCTGTGAGCTCAGTTTTCTGTGCCTGCCATTCATCAGTGTTACGGATTGTAAAAGCTGCCACTTCAATGCTGCTCTTTTGGTACCCAGACTTATCTGTGCAAATGTTGTGGTGGAGCTGTGGAAACAAGGTCTTCGAGGTCTCATGGGGTCTTGCAGCAGCCAGAACACGCGGAAAACAGGAAAGGGAAGAAAGGTGATTATCAGAGTTTACGGGCAAGATGTGGATATGAGGGATATAATGGTGCTCTGGTGCCAGAATACAGAATTACAATACGGAGCACTTAGTTCTTCAAAGCATAGCCAAGGATTTTATCCTTATTGGTTCGTCGTGAGGTTGGTAAGTCAAGCTGGAAGGATGCAGAAGTTCACAGAACGGATGTTTTGGAGCGATGTGAGCAAGATTGTTCTCTTTAAAAACATATTCAATTAGAACTATGCTGTATGAAAAAAAGGAAATAAGTTGAATGTACTTTGAGAGGTATTTAACGCTGTGTTTATGTCTGAACTATTGTGCAGAATAATGTAAAGCAGTATAAGAGTATCTACTTCAAAGTCATGCAAAGTATTGTTTTATTTAGTTTTTTTTTCCAATTAACTTATCTGGCTGATGCCCTTTTTTTTTTTTTCCCCTCATCCTTCACATCTTTTTCCTCCAACTACTTCTACATATTTCAAAGAAAGCCTTCAAATAAAAATCCCAGTTAGCACAGGAAATTAATTGAGCTGTTAGACATGAAACTAGTTTTATTTCAGCCTTCTCGGAAAGCTGTTTGTAGCAAAGGGTGGGAAATACTCTGAGAAAATGGAGCACAGTCCTTCAATGTCTCCAGCAAACTTGTTGGTCTTTTTGTCTTTTCATGTTTTCTGGAAATGTTCAATGTTTTGTCAGGTTGCTGTGTTTTTTTTGTCCTTGGCTTTGTCTCCTTTTCCCAACTAATGACTTTAGCAGGAAGATTTTTGTTGGAAAGGCTGTATTTGAAAACATTGATCTTGCATTTGGTTTTGAACCATATGGATCACAAGTACTTTTATGCTCTCACGTTAACAGCTGACTTCTTTTGTATTATATTTGTTTTAGAAAGCAGGATTTAATTTATTTTGGTTTGATTTCCATGATCACTGGAAATGTATTTTTCTCTTGTTTTACTGCTTAGACCAGAGAAGATTAAAAAGGTTTTTAATTTTTTTTTTTTAAGAGTAATTTTTGCTCTGCGTTGTATTTCATACTGTAGATTCCTATTTAATAGCTACAGCTTTCCTTGTGACATTCTTCTGTCATCATGTTTAGCAGAGAATGGAGACATTTTAATCTTCAGCTCAGGATTCAGATTTCCAACAAAAGAATGAACTCAAAAGTGGTCTCTCTCTTTCTCCAAATGAATAGAACCATTCAAGGAATAAGCAGAATCAATGACACCAATGAAAGGAACAGTGAATTCTTCATTGACATACTGAACTATTTAAAGTTATTTCATCAGGTTTGCATTTAGGAATGAATGGCTTTTTTTATTTCCTAAGAAAGAGTATTGACTACAACACTGAATAATGCACTCAATTACAGTCGTTACTATAAATGCTGAAATGAGATATTGCTGTAGGCCCGGCATGTAGCGAAAAAGAGGTTTGTGGTATGGCTTATGAGCAATAATTTTCAGAAAGTTTTCACAGCTTACTGTGTTTTATGTGTGGCATTTAATTCTGATGAATCTCCTGCTAGATCACTCGCTTTTTGAAGGCAGAAAGTAATTTGTCTGCTAGAAGCACTGTAGATTTTGACATGGTTCTCTTAAAGCAGGCTCATTAGAGATAACCCATTAAAATGCTTTCTTGTACATACTTGGGAGTATTCCAGTTGTTTGATTCACATTCATCCAAAAAGCAAGTATTTACTGTACATTATTTTTTAAAATTTCCTCGTGGTACTGTATTTTACTGCACTCTTGATGGAAGTTTGAGCATCCTCATTTAAAAAGATTATTGCAACAATACTAATCATATTGCAAAGTGAAGTCGTCAGTTATTTGATATTTATGAATCTGACCTTTTAGCTAGAACAGTGCATCTGAATAAGCGAACTCTTTGCTAGTAAGATAAGTTGTGCTGTGACTCAGACTGAGAAAACAAGTTGTTGTTTGTTTCTCTTAAAACTTCTAATGTGCTTTGCCATTCTCTGATCTGTGACCATTTTGAAGTGCGCAGGAGGAATAATTACTCCTGGCTCTGGAAGGACACTCTCTCTTAACAGTAAAAGTTAGTTAGCATAATGTAATTATTGTTTGCACTCCTGGTGTGTGGCTGAAGGGTAGCTTGTGTGGTTGTGTGTGTTTTTTCTCTTTGAGTTCTGTAAGTATATAGTACTTAATGCTTTTCTGCTGATGCTAAATGTCTTAATATAAGAGCGTTCTTTTAAATTTTCCCAGTGCTAAATAAATATGTTTTAAGACTGGTATTAGTATGAATGTTTTTGAAAAATACCCATTAGCCATTGTCATTTATTGTAGGTGCTACAAAATATATTAGAAACAGAAAATGAATATTCTAAGGAGCTACAGACAATGCTTTCAAACTACCTGCGACCGTTACAAGCCAGTGAAAAGTATGTGAGTTTGTTTTAACTTTTAAAATAAAGCTGCAGATCACTTGGATATTGGGGAGGGCTTTTGTCATCAAAACTTTAGTTCTAATGTTAATGTGCATTTTCTTGTGTGGACTGAGATCCCTGAGGCAGGAGTTTCTGTCTCGAGTTCCTGTTCTTCTTGCTTGCTGACTTGGACAGGTTGATTCTGGCTCTTGTTCAAAGAATCAGTAAGCATTTTTTATGTTCTAGGTTTTCTTAAAGAACAAATACTCAGTAACTACAAACATAAACACGTTTTGTTTTACCTTGGCAACAGGTTAAACTCGACAAACACTTCATACTTAATGGGAAATCTGGAAGAAATAAGTTCTTTTCAGCAGATGCTTGTACAGTCTTTAGAAGAATGCACCAAGTAAGTACTCTGCATACCAGATGGTGTAGAATTCTAACAAGCAAATATTTTATTATTACTTGTTTTGTAAGTTAATGTTTGAGATGAAATTTTGTACCTCTCATTGTAATGGTAGTTGCTACAGCAAAAAAAAAAAAAAGAAAGTAATAGATGTTTAGACAATTATTCTTTGCTTGTACAGGTAAATATTGACCCTGGGATGCAAATGCAGAGGTAGGAATTTAAAAATAGTTAGAAAACAATTTATAAGTTTTCATAACCAGTTATGTGCTAGCAAGGAGGTGATAAAAAGTGGTGTGTGTTTTATTGTGGAAGTAGGATTTTCTTAAGAGTGGAAGAGAATGAAGGTAGCGATTATGCTGTGATGGAACAGTGGAGGTGAGGAGGGGGAAGTGAGTTGGATGAAGGACTCCATGAAAAGAGTTTTGGTCAATACATTTTTGTCCCAATCAGTGGTAGTCATCAACGTGTGCTGGGAGATGCATATAGAATAGACAGAAAGAAAAATCTGGAAAAAAAATAAAATAAATCAGTCTTAATGCCTGTACTGTATTATCTAAGGATCATGAAGCAGAAAGGAAAAGCGGCATGAAGAATGGAAGCATCTCTTTTCCTTCTGTAGGTTAGATTAGTTGTAGCAGGATGTTTTTCACTATTCCTGCAGTGAAGGTGTAAGAAAGATGACCACCACATTTGTCTTTTCCCTACAGGTTTCTGCTGTTGAAACTGCAGAAAGTGTAGTTCCTCTTATTAATCTTGCGTGAGTCCTTTTCCTTGCGTGTATTCTGGTTTTGTCTGACCACATGATGAGCTACTGTGACTGCTAATCCAAATTTGCTAGTTTCCTGCCAAATCAGTCATTTAAATTGCTACTAAAGGCTGAGACAAGTTTTAGTCTGCACAGGGGAAATACTGGAAGCACTTGGCTGTGAGTAGGAGTGAATTGTCTTGGACAGAGGAGAAAATACCTATCTTGGCAGCACTGATTGTATTCCGTGTATTTTATTTTGACTTTTTCCTCCTCTGTTCCTCTAAGCTGATCTGTGTTAAGAGGAAGCTTTGACAAAGTGTAAGTTGTGCCTCTTCTAGACGTTAATTTCTGTCTGGGCACGTTGCTGACTTTGGATCTCATGTCCTCCTACCATCTGGCTTCTCTCCCTGTCTTCTTTCTCTAGACAGCTTATACTGGAGAGAATGAAAAGGAGCTAATGAGTTAGCAGTGGAAGGGAGGCATTCTCAAAATGATCTTTCTTCCATGCTGCATTTCAGTAAGAAGGGTATTCTTTTTGGCAAGTTCAACTCAAACACATAGCTGACCAACTTGCAAAACCCTGAGGATGACTGTATGTCCACGTGCTTAGATATTTTGTTGTCTTTTTTCATTCCACTTCCTATTGTTGAATTCTTTTTTACTATTATATTGCTTCTATAAATCACAAGTTAAGAAAATGAACAGACTGTCGTCTTCCAAAACTTTTGATTAAAATGCTTTTAAGAAAAATACTGCCTTCAAACAAATATTAATGCTAGCTTCGTTTTAACTTGATATGTAGATTAATGCTTTATCTTCAAGCTTAAAGCAATGTTTTAGAGTACTTTCTGTGATTTAAATCATATTGGCATGCTCTTTCATAATGTCCTTTGTTTTTCTTCTGGGTAAGTGAAATATTACCATGTAATAAATTAGGAAATACAATGGATTGTAGTAGGTGGGCAGAGGAAGTGATGCTTCAGAATTACTGGAGGGTTACTACAAATGTTTTTAATTATTTTCTTTTTATAAATATGCTGGTCATGCCAAGTTATATTTTCAGTTCAATTTTCATCATAGCATATCAACTTGAGCATCCAACTTCCTCCTGTTTTGAACCTAATCCATCATAATTCTTGTAATGTAGAAGAATGCTTGCCCTGCTGCCCTGTTTTTTTTGTCATTTTGCCATGTTTTTTTGGCTGGTAAACCTGTTCTCTAAACTCCCAGGCTGAAAATAGATTTATCATTTTATTTTATTTTTGGCAGGGAGCTTACAGTGCCATCATTCAGGCACTTCAAGTTGCAGCATCCGGTGTGTTGTTCTGTTTATTTTTTTTATCTTAAACTTGTCAGAGTGACCAAACACAGATGTTCTGCCACTTGTGGTGTTGCCAGCCAACATAGCTCAACAACTTCTTGCTCTTGTGCTTGTGGGTTTGAATGTTAGTTAAGTTCTGAACTCTGCTTGCATCTATTTGTCATTTTAGTTCTCTTTAATAAAACCTTGAACGTGGAACTTCCTGGTGCTTTTTTTTCTTTTTGCCTGCACCTTGTTGACTTCTTCTGATCTTCATGTTGTTAAACACTGGTTGCTTTCACAGCACTTCATGCTGTAGTGTTTTTTTTTGTGTGTGTGTTTTGGGGGAGAGAGGTATTTGGATACAATCCGATTCTGATTGTGTCCCACTTCCCTCTTGTTCCTGCCCAGTTTTCCAAACCTGAAAGCTCTGCTGATGCACTGCTGAAGGTTTGTTCTCTCTGAACTTGTCCAGGTTGGCTTTGCTGCAATACAGCTGCTGTGCTCCTGTGCACTGCTCCATCTGTTGCAGTCTTGGGAGTTTTTCCTGTCTGGCTGCCTGAATGCTAGGGACTGTGTAGCAGATGCTTTGAGGTTACGTCTGCCTTTGCAGTTTCTTTTTATTGTTTAGCAAACAAAAACAGTGTATTAAATGAATCTAACTAGCATTGAATGAGAATCTGCTGACTGATCGCTTCTTTTCAAGTGTGCTTAGTTTTGATGGATGTCAAAGCACAGCAATGGCCAAGGCAGAGAGGTGCTGCTGGAGTCTTCAGCTTACAGAAGAGGATTTATGATGGCAAAACAGAGTAGGAGTGCCCCAGTCTCAAGAAGGAGTGGTCCATTGTTCTAAAGCTCTTTTCAAAATCTGTGATCTAGTACCAAATCTGAGGAGTGTCTCAATGAACAAATTTCTTCCTATTTTGTCATATCTGGGCTGATCCAAGTGATCTTTACTGTTGCAGTGCTGCTTTTTAGATGTTTTTGGAGCAAGTGGTTGATCAGTTATTTCTTCTGAAAAAAACTTGTCCATTCATCTGGGAGTACAAGCTGTCAGTCTGTGGCTGCAGTTCACAGGGCAGGTTGTCCAGAGATGCCAAGATGTGCCAGAGTGCCTATGTATTATCTTCTCTGTAGCAATGTAAAGACTGAGCTGCTTTTTATTTAGCAATCTACTTATCTTCCTGCACCATCACACCCATAGTGGGGTTTTGCCTTCTGTTCCCCTCACATCCTCATTCTTACTCATCACGGCTATGTTTTTCATCTTGTTCTGGGATGGTCCTGGAATGGTATGGGGATTAAAAACAGGATGGGGTGGAGGGGAAAGGTTTATTTGTGAGCAAGAGAATGCTTCTCTGTAACCCAAGACCAATGGGTGTTTCAGAATTGATTCTGAGTGTCTGTCTGTCATGTCTGTTAAAGGCTCATTCTGGTACCTCCTCTTGCTTTTGGTTACTGTGACTATCAATAAATAAGGCTATCCATGTTAAGTGAACTTGAACACATTACCTTCAGCTTGTGTGAAGCAAACATGCAACTTCACTGATGTTAGAGAAGTAAGGTAAATATGAAAGGTATGACACTGAAAGAGCACTGAAAAGTAGATAGATTACAAGTTGAATAGTGTCTCAATTTGTGAAAATAATAGCTTGGAAGACTGTGAAAGTTTTCCTTATTTCAGCAATTCTGTTCACGTCATCTCCCTAGGCTTTGCAGTTGTTTCACGTTCCTTTCACAAACTGCACCTTTGAAGTTATTAGCTACCTTCATCATTTAATCATCTTTGTAGACCTTCACTTGTTTTCAATCTTGCAGTTGTAACAAATGAAGTTACCGTTGATGATCAAAGCCTTTCACAGAGATGGGAAGAGACAGGAAATTTCTTGTGGAAGAAGATGGAGAGGAATAGAAAATGCTGCCCAGATAATTCACAGAATTGTAAGAAATGGAAGGGAACTCAGGGATTATCTAGTCCAACCCCCTGCTAAAACAGACTCCCTAAATTCCTTAATGGTTAGTCTTCAGTTTGTGACAGGCTATGTAATTGTACGTACAGGGACATAGATGATAGTGCGTGACAAGTCTTCTGGTAACCGTACAACAAGGTGAGATTTAGAGTTGTAATCTCATCCTAGCAAAAAAGAAAGCTTATAGACAGCATGAGATCTATATTTCTTTAAATTTGCCTTTGTTAACCTGTGTTATAATTTCTCTGGATTCATCAGTTTACAACAACCTTTACTGTGGTGTTGTAAAGGTGAATGATGCAACAATGCAACAACTAAGATAATAATTCTGTAGTGTTCTGATATAATTCTGTAGTGTTGCTGTTTCTCTGTTGGCTGCCAATCAAGCTTTAGTCCTGTTATGATCACTGACCATGAGAAGTAATCGTGACTGAGCAACAAAGTCATCTTCTTTCTTGCTGCTCTCAAATTATTTTGCTATAGGAACCCACTTTAAACCTGGGGAACGGAGCTGGTAGCTATCAGATACAGCAACAAAAAATGTATTTACTCAGTAATTTAGATGCTGTTGTACAATGATTGTGCCTGTATAGGCTTTGTTAATGTTCTCTAATCCTGTAAATGAAATTAAACATGTCTTTGGTTTTCTTATAACTGAAGCTTTTTTCATTCTTTAAATATACGTACATGTATATATGTGTGCCTGTATTATGTATATTGTTATGCTCATAATTCTTTTTTAGTTGAGGTATTAAATGAGAGAATATTTAGATGCCAACATGAGAATAAATTATAAAACTATGCTCTTTATTGAATTGGAACACATAATTACCAGAAGGTTTGTATGATTTTGTGACAGGCATTAAATTGTTGTTTTTCAGGCAATTAAAGGAAATGGAGATAATTTATTAATTATTCTTGTAAAATTAGTAGAACGCTCTCAATTAATGTATGTAGCTGAAAAGTTGAAGGGAATAAGTGGCCACCCCCTCGTGAAGTCTGTTGATTATCTTAATTCAGCAAAGAATATGTAGTATGAAGTTACAGTGCATGTGCAGCATGTGAGAGAGAATAATATCGATCTTTCTGCTAAAAGAACAGCAGGCTGAGGAGACACAGATGTCTGCTTGATGTGAGAAGCCATAATTCACTTCCCACTGCTCCCCACCCCCTCCCCCAGGCAATACAGTATGAAGAGACAATTTTTTCCATTTTTAGCAGTTGTTCATTGGGGCCTCTTACTATTTAATGCTGAGCTATATTTCCTTCGTGTGTCTACAGAGTCTGAGATTCTCACTGCATCTATTGCTTGAAGAATGTATTGTTAGCTCATGCTTAAATTTATTACAGGAGACTGACTGCTAGAAGGGAAATCCTGCTTGGATGGCTGTATGAATAACATCTCTCAGTCTACTGAGGAATGCCCCAAATGCCTGCAGAAGCTGCTGCCCTGTTAATGTCAAAATTTAAAATTTTATTTCAAGAGAAATAGTTTCAGACAATAAAATATGAGCCCTGGCTCTTGATGTAAGGAGCCCCTGACAGTGTGATCAGAATACAGCTAGCATGGTGTGCTAACAGGGAATTCAGTCATCATTTTCTGGATGTCTTCAAGTGAATGGTGTTACCGGATAAGGGTTCCCTTGTCTTACATCTGAACATCTCCACAGTCAATTCTGATTTTTCAATGACTTGGTCTTCCTTTGCCATACAGAGGGACTAAACAGCATCTCTCTTCAGAAGGAAAACGCTATCTGTTGATATTTAGAAATGTTACGAACATGTTCAGGACAATGAGATTTTTGATTTTTGAAAAGAAAAACAATATTCTACCTGAGAGAATTGTCTGAACTAATGTCAGCATGAAACCACCAGATTGTGCTAACGGTAGTCTGGGTGTTTGCTGAGGACTCACCTAGCTTCAGAGCAAGGTGAAATATTGGATTTAAGAGTAGTTAGATAAAACAACAGCGAAAATTCCTGTTTTCTTGAGCCTGTTGCCAGGATGAGTCAAAGGCTTGGCATGCTGATGTTGATGTTAAGAAATGCAGCCTTTATGCAAGAAAGGGAAACGTATGAAGGAAATTAAGACACTATTTGGACACAGCCTCTCAGACAAGCACTGTAATCTAGGATTGCTGAAAACTTTACACTGTCTTCTGGGTGAGTTCATTGTGGGTTATACAATCAACTATGGTTCATGTTGTAGAATCATAGAATGGCCTGGGCTGAAAAGGGCCTCAAAGTTTCAACCCCCCCTGCTATGTGCAGGGTTGCCAACCATGAGACTAGGCTGCCTAGAGTCGCATCCAGCCTGGCCTTGAATGCCTCCAGGGATGGGGCATCCACAACCCCCTTGGGCAACCTGTTCTGGTGTGCCACCATCCTCTGTGTGAAGAACTTCCTCCTCACATTACTGGCTTGTCTATTTTGCCATCCACCAGTATTCCCCTTGTCCTCTTCAGGAGACTTGTTCTTTATCCTTACATCCCACAGCTTGTACTGATAGTGGGAGTTGCCATGACCCAGGTTATATATGTATATGTACATCCTGCTCTTGAATAGGTTTAGTCTTTCAAGTAGAGGTTTCCCTGTTTTAAAATAAGAAAGTAGTTTCATCCATCCTTACTATGTGCTTGTTAGTCCGATTCATTCTTTCTAGTATGGATATTTTAATGATCAGTTCTGAGAATGGTGGTGTAATAGCAGTAAGGAAGCAAGACTAGACAGACTTCATACTTTCCGTTGGTGTATGTTCAACCTGAAGATTTCTTTGTATTTTTAAGAAGAACGGGAGTGTTTTTCCCTGTGTAAGAAGTATGCAGCTTAAGGAGATGCTAAAATAGAGCAACTCTCACAGTCTTGTTTTTGCTTTTTATACTGATGCAGAATCAGAGTTCAGGCTTTCTGCAAATTGTTCAGGTTCGAAGCTGTTGTGATTCAGCCATCTTTGGATATTTACACTCCAGATGTTTTCTTACTGCAGTCTGAAATGACAGTTTCTGCTACAACCTTTTGAAAAAGAGGCTGCATATTCATATTCTTTTTTTCTGTCCATACCACTTCGTCACTTGCATGGAGAAAATGCATGTTTATTTTTCTGACAAACATTATCAAAACTGATTAGGTTCACCAAAACTGTGAAAGTAACCTTTTATTCTAAATACTGTTTCACTTACAGAATATTTTTTTCTTCTAAAGTAACTAATGCTACTGTTGTAATGTTATTCAACCAAAAGAATTCTCCTGTGCAAAAAGACTAAAGTAGAATTTACTGCTTAGCAGATGTGGCTCATTCTAGCATGGAAGACAAAGTATGAGTTACAGGAAGTATTTCTATATTGGTGGTAAAGCAGCATTTTTGTCCTTGTAGCAAATGAGCCATAAAGGTGTTTTATGATGCCTAGAAAGCAAGGTGAGGGATGATTGTATGAAAACTACCTGTAGTTGCTCCATAACTGGCTATTTGCTCTATCAGAGCTTAATATGGTACTTTCATGAGTATTTTAAGCACGTCATATTTGTTGTTGAGGGTAGAGAGAGAATCCTATTGCTTACTTGATCCAGTTTTGTCAAAATGCTGTAATATTCATTTCAAGATTTGGCGTGGTGTATACATGGATAGTAACACTAGGTGCATTGTGTAAAAAATCAAGCTCCTAAAAAATATGCTGATTAATTCTTGAAAAAGGCCAGCTGACTGAATGTCTTACAAATATGTCATAATATGCCTAGGCTTTGAGGATGTAACCAAACCTGGCAGATATAGGATTGAAGTTGTAAAGAAGAAAGAAGGTGCTGTTGTTTGCTGGCTGATGCCCTGAGAAACCTTATGTTCATTTAAAATAATAATAAAGAGGTTAACATTGTATGAACTAGGTGGACTTCACTCACAAAGAATATACTGTTTAGCCTGGGTTTAACTTTTTTCTTTGGCTCATATTAATGTAACTTCTTTATTACTCCATTTTTAGGTTGCCTGAAGCTCAGCAGAGAGTTGGAGGATGTTTTCTAAATTTGATGTCACAGATGAAAAGCTTATATCTTGCCTACTGTGCCAATCATCCATCAGCAGTAAATGTTCTCACAGAACACAGGTATGTTTACCTTGTGGTCTTCAAAGAGTTTTATACAGGAAAAGTGTGTAGCAGGTACTTGTGTTGTAAAGACTTGTCTTTTATTGACATGCATTTGGTATAGTAGAACTTGTTTGGGGAAGAAAAAATAAACTCATACCTTGAAGTTGGTTTGTATCCTCGTGGCCAGATTGACAACTTGAGGCCATTTCCCCTCATCCTGTCACCTGTCACCAGTGAGAAGAGACCAATCCCGCTCTCACTGTAAGCACCTTTCAGGTCTTGAAAGAGAGCAGTAAGGTCTCTCCTCAGCCTCCTCTTCCCCAGACTAAACAGCCTCAGTTCCTTCAATCCCTCCTCATAGGGCATGTTCTCCAAGCAGCCTTGTTGCCCTTCTTTGGACCTGCTCCAGTGTGTGTCCTTTCTGTACTGCAGTGCCCAATGATTTGCTCTTGGGTTGCTTTTGAATAACATGAGGAGTGTGAGCTTTTCAGGTTCACATAATTTGTATTTCTTGTGTGTAAGATATAGGATGCTGAGTTAACAATGTAGAAGTTGCACAGCTTTGAAAATGACCTTGAATTTGCATAGAAAATAGCTAGAATCACATGTAGGATGGAGTGTTGAGGCCAGAATTTGATTTTAAGTCTACTTCCACAAAATTTCACTGTGTATTCTGATGACCACATGCTGCAACAGCTGTTAACTTGATGCTGTTTGCTTATGATGCAGTATGGAACCATGACCTTCTCTTGAAGGTCAGACACAGTACACATTCTGGCATGTTACCTGTTCTTTTTTCTTTTTTTCTCTTTTTTGTCTTGACGTGTTGGACCAAAGTAAAAATATTTTAATATTCTTAACTCTGCCTAAATAGAGAGTAGTGTAATGGTCTTGTTTTCTATGCTACTAAGTTCTTCCAAGAACTCACATTTTGTTTTAACAGCAGCAGTTTGTATCATATTTGTGACACCTGTAATAGTACTAATCCAAAAGCTCCCAGCTACCAAAGACTGAGCTATCACGTACATTAGTAAAGCTTTTGTTCTTCCTTGCTTTGAAAAATAGGGCTGCAATTCACGTTGCAATCCAGGCTGTTTTTAGGCTGTTTAGTTGTTTGTTTTTTTTTTCAGACACAATGAATGAAAATTAAGACAATTTATAAAATAGTAATGAAATTCTACTAGTATTTTCTTTTAGATGGCTTATTTCCAGTACTATTATCAGTAAATACTGAAATGTTTAGATGATTCAAGCTTGTTCTTTTAAAATAATCTTAAGTTTAGAGTTGTTTGGGCCTTTATGTTCCTTTCATACAGAGATCTGGGCTTTAATCTGTAGGTGGGAGCTGGCAAGTGATCGTGAAATGCGTGAGCACATGCATTTAAGATTTTAAGGCATTTGTAAAGGATTATCTTAATTTTCAGAAACCTGTTTCCTTTGTTTTCTAAAAGTTGTATTTGAAAAACAGTGATAAAATTGTGAGGGAGGTAAGCGAATTGTTTCCTAAGTTGGGAAGAAAAGTGTTTAATCTCCTCTGTGTTGCTTTGGGCATGGCTTGTCCTATGCAAAAAATAGCTCCTGATCTGTGAAGTCAGCTTCATGTCAACCCCTGATGGAGTCAGTACTGTGGGGTAATTAAGTCAATCAGGTGTGGGAATGAGCTCACAGCAATTGTGTTGTTCGTAGGAGATAGCTCAAGGGGGAAGAACTTTTGATAAACAGTTTTGTTTTAATGCTACTGTGTACCAATGCATGAGTCAAAAGAAGTGAATCCTTTATTTTTTTTTTAATTACCTCTATTTTATTATTCTGAGCCCTTCAGTTTTGTTGACTGCCAATGCTATAGGTAGCAAGCAGCTCAATGAAAGTTGACTTCATTATAGAGGAACATCCCTCATAAACTTTAATGTAAAAATTACTGTGGGATTTGAGGCTTGTTGTGACTGTAATAGTAATGAAACAGATACATGCATTTAATACTTGATTAATATTAAAATGAGATCTTCCAGGGAGGAAAATCTCTACCTTCATAGGTAGGTTTGGACTTTGAAGAAATGATGATCTGTTTGCTCTTCCTGTGGTATGGCTGTGTTTTAATACGAATAAAAATGTGGCAGAGAAATGTTTCGATTCTTGGATTTTGAGTATCATGTTTCTAACAGCTGTGCTTTTCAGTGGCATTTTAGAGTGAGGAAAGGGGAACAGTCTACAGCAGTTTGATACAGAATATAAATTCTTATTGTCTACTTCAGATTGTTTATTGCCATAAACACTGTGTGCTTCATAAAGGGAGCATGTGCTTTAACTCTGAAACACACTGTACGGAGAAACTAGTGGGTTATTTTAAGTCAGATTCTTAAATCACAAAGTTAGGAACTTCTGCAGTTGATTAAATTCATTTAATTTATTAAACTCAAAAACAAACCCAAATCTGGGTGGTTGTTCTAGGTGCTATCATTTTTAAGTATTAACTGTGCTGTTTCTTTAGCCAGATAGATCACTAATATCAAAATTCCTGTAAGCAGCATCTGCCTTGGTGAAATATGCCACCTATGAAGATCTTATATCACTTTTTGGTCTTGTAAGTGTTCTCTTTGAACAGTGTAGTAGTACCTGTTAAGAGGTCGATGACACCTGGTAAAGAGTCTACATATATGTATATATGTATGCAAACTGATACCAACGTATACAGAATTGTTTTGATCTTGTAGTGAAAAGATATTTTTGAACAGCAATTTTATAAATAAATGGTAATAATTTTAAACAATTCTACTTGAGATTTAAAAAGAGGCATTCAGTGAGAAAGTGGCATTTCTTTGCCCATGCTGTTCCATGTGGATGTTGGCCTGATGTTTCCTGTTTCTATCATCTATGCTTCTCTATCATATCTAGAAGCAACCATGGGTAGTTTCTTCCTTTGTAGAAAATAAGGTGTTTGTGCATGTATACACGTATGTTCATATGTATGTGTATAATACAGAAAGGGATTAATCATTGTATTACTATGTGAGCTTTTTCATCTTCAGACTGTCAAAGCCACAAACATCTTTCATTTCCTTAAGTTAATTATTAATAGTTAAACTACTAAAATGAATACAAAAGAGACTTACCTGTGTGTGAGTGTACAGAAGTAGGAATGAAGCCTAATACAGTCTATATAGGTGTTCAAATTCCACAGCTAAATGTTTCTCAAGTTACTTGCCTCTGACAACAACAATAAAAACAGCTGTGTGATTTCTATTAGGGTTGGAGCTTTATGAGCAGATCCTTGTTTCTGGTTCCAGTTATGTTATCCAAGTGTCAAAATAATTTTTCCAGCCTTTCATGCAGTCCTGAAATTTTGTAGGTGCCTTCTGGGGACTTTCTTCTGAGCCATGGCATATTTTTTTCCAGAATTAAGATTTTTTCTGTCTAAAAACTCAAGAATGTTAAAGAATGGAGTAATTTTTTTTGAGGCTTGTCACCAGATTTTGTAATTGTCTTAAGCCACAGGCTAGAGCTTAAGAGATGGAGCTTGCCAGCCATAGCTGGGTGGTGACCCTTGCTGAGATCAGTGTTCTGCTTCCACCATTGTGTGTTGTCCACATTCCCTTCTCCATCAGTAGCTGTGGTGTCACTGTACATAACCTCTATTTTCTTTTCTGCATTCTGTAACAGTCATACCTCTTTGGCAGCACTGTATGAGATATCAGTTTCACTATTCCATAGTTCTTCTTGAAAATCCCAGTTCAAGTGCAGGGGTAGGTGGTCAACTGTAATAATGCTATGTTATTTTTTGGAGAAAATTGGTCAAAGCTATTCTGTCTTAAGGATGTTAAACAGTGTTATTTGCCATTTGTGCTTCTGATCAGAGAAATAGGTTTGCCTTCTAATAAGAGAAAGAAACAGGATGAGCAACCTAAGACATGAAAGAATTTCTTGAAAACCAATAAAAAAACAAACAAAACAGTTGAATACAAAGTACAGTAATGAATAATTGCAGAGGAGTGAGGAGTCCCAGGAACTTGAGCTGTTACTTACCTCTGGGAAGATCAGAAACCACAAAGTTAATTGCAAAGACAGAGTCCAGCAAAGAGAAAGTGGTAGTAGTAGCTAGCATGGGAACGTATGCAGTCTATATCCAAAATGACAAAGGAAAAAATACTTAAGTACAGAGCTACCTGGAAGGTGGATAATGTAATGGGTGGGTGGAGGTACTCTCAAAACCTCACTTGTCTGGTGGGACTTTATAACTCTTCTTAATGAAACTCTTCTTAACATGGAGAAAATGTAATTGGTAGTAAATATGTAATCACTGGGGAGAGACTGGTTTCTTAAACTTTTTGACTTTCATTTAAAGTAAACATGGCATTGTTTAAACAATGTGGATGAAAAATGTTTCTAAAAGAAAAATATTTTGCTCAAAAAGAAGCTTCAAATCAGTAATCTCTGTTGCTTTTATTGCAAAATAATTTCTGAGCCAGTTTTCAGCTGGAAGAATTGCTGGGAGCTATTTGCAGAACTCCACTTGTTATCTAAAAAAACTGAAGGATCTAACAAAACTAATACTTGAACAAGTCCCACGTACATTCTGTGTTTGCATCACTGGCTTAGCAGTCTGGAGAAAGCTGCTGAAGCTGAAACATCACAATTACTCCTTGTAACTGGAGCATGGAATACAGATCAGCTTGAGTCAGAAAACTCTTTGTGCCTCCCCCATTTATGTGCATCTCTGAGCTTGCAAGTGTGCAGGCTGATGTCATACGCTGATCAGCAGTCCTTGAGTGAGGAGCTCAGCTGAGAAGCTGGGAACTGAAAGCAGAGGCTGAGGGATTGCTGAGCCGAGCTGTGCTGCGACGCTCTCAAAATGCGGTGCCTGTGTGCAGTCCTCAGACCTCTCAGCAGTGATAGCTCGTGCTCCATCTATTACAAACAGAGACCTACTTCAGAAGCGTAAGTTGTGATTTTAAAGCTACATTTTAGTTCCTGGATGTGTTTTTCTTTCTGTGACTGTACGCACATCTGAACTTGTTTTCTTCCCTACCCCTGGTCTGATTTGCAGCTTTCAAGGCAGCTGTGCTAAGAAAGATTTGAATATGTTAATATGGCTTAAAGATACTTTTCTAGAAATTATTTTGCTGTGAGCTAACTTTAGTCTGGAGAGGAGGGAAAACTCTTCTGCTCAAGATTTGAAGCACAACATTTTTTATTCTGTAAAGTGATGCAGGCTGCGTATTGAAATCTTGACTGCTTCTTTCTGAGAAGTTACTTATGTAGGCAGTTTTGAGTCAGTTGATGATTGAACAGTTAAAAAGCTTTTCCTGTTCAGCAAAATTGATTTTTATTTTTTATTCTTTATTAAAAAAGCAAACAACAACAACAAAATAACACAAAAGCCACAAAAGTAACATATGGCTTAATTGTGGGCCAGAGTTTGATTTAGTATATACTGACTAGAAAGGTGGTACTTATAAGCATCATTTGAAACAGCGACATGAAAGAGCCATTGTCTTTGTCAAAGCAGCTGTGCTCTTAAGCTAACAACACGGATATATTTAAGCTGCTATTAATTAAAGAAACTGTTGTCGTATTCAAACAGCGTTGTAACCCACCCACGTTTTATTGGAAGCAAATCTTTCCCTTATGTTTCAGAGTTGCGTTTGTCCTTTGTGAATAAATGAGGGACGGTTGCTTTGAGCTAAAATAATTTCCTTCTGTGCCAGATACTTTTTGTTCCTCTACCTGTAGGGATAGGAGGTTGGTTTAGGTTGAGCCAGAGAGGTACCAGGGTCTGCACCAGCACTGCACCAGCACACTGCTTGAACAAAGCTTTGCCTCCTGTGATTAAGTGTGTGTGCGTGTTCCTTTTAGACTTTGAACAAGCGAGCATGTCGAAACTTGTCAGAGCGACCTATAGAAGTGAATGAAAGAAAACATTGTCCTCTTGGGAACGTCAGGAGGGAAACTGCGTAATTCAGTTTTAATTGCACCTTTTAACGCAGCTCTGTGTAAAAGGCTTCCTGGTGATGCAATTGTTAAGCGAGTTTTTCAGGACGCTGTGTACATTTTAAACCTCAGCTCACTTCAACTTGCTCTGTAGGCTCTTGCACTGTGATTAAAAATGAGGCAATAAACAACAGTGTCCTGTGCTAGAGAGCAGTGGCTAGCATGGCAACCGCTGTAACCTCGCTTAAGGGTAGAATCTCTTTCTTAAAGTCAGGGGTTGCAGAGTAGGCAGAGAAGATTTTGTTTATATTTTATTTCAGGTTTTAAAGTAGTCACCTGCCAGGCTTCAGTGAGCTTTTTTTTTCCCCCCATTTTCTGACATGCCTGTGTTAACAGTGCTGAGGTCAGGAAGAAAAGGCACAGTGACAAACAAAGGGGATATGAATGTGGGTGAAATGGAGTTGGTAGGCACTGTGGTCCTCCTACTGTAGAGGCATTAGATAATGAAATATTTATTTTAAAAAGCATCGTGTTGTGGGGTAGCTCAGCAACTGCCATTTCTATAATGGATTTGTATGCACACAGCAGCATGGAGATAGCAAAAAATAATTAGGGATGTTTGTGTCTTGGCAATCTAAAGATGAAAGAATGATGGTATATTGAATGAGGGGAATCAATGGTTGGCTTGTACTATAAAACCTACTGATATTTTGGAGATGAAAGAAGCTTGTATAGACATGTACATCTATCTGAAGTGGGGATGAGTAACAAGGGATGAGAATTGAAATAGTTTGTAAAGTTAGGCAGCAGGGGCTGCATCTGGCTGAAGTAAAGAAAAAATAAAGAATGAGTTCATTTCTTGTTAGTTCTTGTGGCATATATCACTGGAGAGAAAACAATAATAGGTAAGGGGGTATGGGGTAGTTACAGGGAGAATTAATTACAAACAAGATAGATCAACCCAATGGAATACCTGAGATCAATACTATATACAGAGTGAATAGGAATATAAAGCATTGTATCTTGTGACAGAAAGGCTTTCACAGGTGAGCTTTGGTAAAGTTTTGTGTAGAATCTAGCTGTGGTGTCCTGATTTGTCCCCTCTCCACCCCCCCCCATGTCACCTTGCACATTCACTTGTCTGAGGTAGAGGATGTATGACCACACCACAGCCAGTCAATGTAATGTTCCAGGAAATCAGCCATAAATCCTGGATTGAACGAGTAACTGGCACCCCTGTAAACCAACATAGGGACTTCGACTCATGCTTAAGTCACCTTGAGAGTGCCACCTGAATAAATTGATAACATTTTTTTTTTTTTTACACTGAGTAAGGGTTTGTGATTAAAAAAAAAAACAAAAAACCAACAACGAAAGAAAAACTTAAACCAAAGTAAATCTTGAGTATCAAGATATTCTCTTGGGTAGCTTCTTATATCTAAATTTAAGCCGGAGAAGTACTCAGTTTTATTGTAGGAAGTTTTTCAGTGAGTTTTGGCCCAAACCTGGTCATGTCACAGGCTGACCTAGAGTCACACAGGTGTTCTGCTTGTGAGTGATGGAGAAAGGAGGCCTGCCTCCTGGGTGATCTGGTGTGCCGATCCCTTCTCTATACAACTTGACAGTACAAAGAAAGTGTTGGGAAACTTCCTTATCTGCTTTCTTAACTTCTGGTTCAGAAGTTCAGAAACACACCTGTATGCACTGAGAAGTGCCAGGGCTTGGTGTCCTCTGAAGGAGGTTATGTGAGGTTGTGTCCTACCAGGCGGCAATACAGAAGCAGTATTGGTGTATTTAAACAAGGTAATGTAAGTAAATACCAATTAACTAAAGGCAAATAAGAAAAGTACTTTCTGTTCTTTGAACCTGAAGAAAGTAATAGTTGGAAGGAGAGAGATGTTGGGGAAGATGTATCTGCATGAGAAGATCTCTGTTCTTGCTTTGCTCTCGTTATCTATTTGGACAAACTATGCTAATAAAAGTGTCAGACCTTCTGAAATGGGAAGGGATGTGTTTGCGGGGGGGGAGGGGTAGACAGGGTCAATTCTGTCTTAATCTGTGCTTTTATATGGACAGCTCACTGTTATTTGAACCTATGTATTTTTATGTATCATAGCAGTGTCCTGTCAGTGTTTTTTTTCTTAGGAAGCTGAACAGACCAGGATTTGCTTTCATTTCAGTACATCAAAACAATGTGCCCTAATTTTGGAGAAACTTGCACCTCCCAGATTGTCACCTAGGCTTAAATAAAAGAATTTTGTTAATGAGACCCTAATGTGCAAGTTTTCCTCCTTTATTGCAAATAGTTGTTTAACAGTTACATTTTCTTAATTTATTTACTGTTGTCAAAAGAATTTAATCTGACAGCTGGCAAAGGCTTTCTTTGAAAAGTAAGACTACAAAGGCAAACAAGTGTTTTAAGCCTTGATTTACAGGGAAGTACTGTTGTTAATGAGCTGAAAGTAATGATTTTCAGGATAACTTACAAAAGATTTTAATGATTATCACATGATAGTATAGGGGTTTGTTTGAGAGCTAGTTAATTTACAGTAACAACTGCTCAAAATGCTAACAGCTCCATCTGCAGATGACTAGAATGGCATAGCTTGAATGCAGAAAGGATTTTCTTTTTAATAAGTAGCTTTCTGAATTTTCTTAACTAGATTTTATATTCAGATATGCATGTATGTCTGCAACGTGTGTTTTCTCAAGCTCAGAAATAAGCCCAGGTGCTGCTGTACCTTCCTTTCCTCAAGGAAAAGGCTGATTTTTTTTTTTGAAGTTTAGATGACCAATAGCAACTTGTCCTCTACCTTATTTTTCTGAAATTTCTGCTGTGTAAGGAAGCAGAGAATGTAGATATCATAAGCTTCATTGGTAGCAAAGTGAACTTTAATTCCATTAAAAGGTAGCAAAGCGACATGAGAATTTATGTAACAACTGGAAGGAATGTGCTGGAAGTCAGTTGTGAGAAATGATCCAAATATGAAGAACTATGGGTAGAGGAAATACCAATTCATGATGTTTGGAGAGTTTTGGTTTCTTAAACTAATGCTGATGTCAAAAACGTGTTATGTAGTTATAAAGACCTTGAAACTTTAGCTCGTGAGGATAGACTGCACACCAGTATCTGATTATTTACTACTTGTATAGCTACTGGTTAGTTGATCAAATGAGAGCTCTTAAGTTGTACTTGAGTTCTTGAATTTTTTAATTTATTTGAATTAATGTTTTATCTGCAGAATTAACTGAGTGTGAAAAACTGAAGAGAAGAATCTAATTTAATTTTAATTTTCTTGGTAATTTGATATTAATTTGCTTAAATATCTTGTGTGTGCAGTGAGGAGCTAGGAGAATTCATGGAGGTGAAGGGTGCCAACAGTCCTGGGATCCTTGTACTGACCACAGGCCTCAGCAAACCTTTTATGCGTCTGGATAAATACCCCACGTTACTCAAAGAGCTTGAAAGGCACATGGAGGTATATCTTATCAGCATTTATGTTCCAGCTTAATGATGATTTGACAACAATTATTTTAAAGGTACATGTCAAACATGATGGGACCCCAAATGACTTTTGTTTCGTCTTCCTTCCATAATATGGGCTGCCATATTTCAAAAGGTGGTGCAGTAAGACTTCCTGAGAAAGCTAAATGTTTACAATAAAGCTATGCAGAGAAGCTAACCTTCGCTCCTAGAACAGTCTTGCAGGGTCTACAGTTGACTTGATGTTGGGTTTTTTTTGGACTCCTGCACACAACATGAAGCAACTTTATCTTGTAGAAGTGCTGCTTTTCATCTTAGGATTTCAACCTGTTGGACATATCATTTCTGGACGGTGTTCAGCAGAAGTCAAGATGATCTTTCCATAGTGGGAAGATGTTTGAAGATTAACTGTTTTCTGCATTTTCATCTTATAGGCTAGACTTGTGAGCTGTGAAGGAGAAAGAGAAATAGAAACTAGTTTCTGAGTCACATGGTTTGTCAGTCAATGACTCTGAAGGAAATGTGATTTATTTACAATGAAAGGCAACAAGCCAAATAAAACCTTTTAAAATATACACTTTTTATTAGGAGTACAAGTTGGTAAGCGATTTTTTTGTGTCCAGAAGGACGTATAAAATTTCCTTGACTCTGTTGTAAGCATAAGAGTCATCTACAACATTTCTATTTCACTTTTACTGAGAGGAAGATCACCAGTATTTTGAATGGGAAGGCTATGGAAAGAGAACAGGAAGGTGGGAAAGCTTTTATTTTATGGGATAGTTTATTTGCTCTTAGGTAAGCCTATAAACATTTTTATGATTATTTTTACTAAAACAAAAATTTTTATTGTATGTTTTTCTCCTTGCTTTTAGGATTATCATCCAGATCGTCCAGACATTCAGAAATCCATGACAGCCTTCAAAAACCTTTCTGTAAGAGGAATGAAAAATAGATCACGTATATTTTCAGCACCATGTTTTTCAGCTTAATCTCTGTTGCTTCTAAAATGTGAAACATTTTTGTACACATCTGTATAAGAAAATTTTGTGAAAGTTTTGGGATTTTGGAGATAATGTAGTTTGTGGGCAGAGCTAAGAACTGCATGTTGTTGGGGAGCTACAGCAAACAGACTAATGACAGAAGAGCCATGTGAGCATTCTGCATCTGTCTGCTCTCTTACTTGTGCTTCATTTTCCTTTCCATGTGCATTTGTGAACTAAAGATTGCATTTTTGAGATTTTACGAGGGTGCATTCATTCTAGGGGTGTAGGGTTGGAGTTGAGGGAGAAGTGATAATGGGTATAGTGCAAACAAGGCTGGGAATGTAGGAACTTTAAGTAATGAAGAGAATAAGCCTGCTTTGAACAGATGAGTTGTTATTGTCATTTAAAGGACAATAAATCTTAAATTTAAAGAGTATAACTTTTGAATTTAAGAATTACAACTGCAACAGGTGTATTTCTTGCATTCTCAATTACAGTAGACTTAACTTTTGTGTTTCCTGTTAGCAGTGCATCCTGGTGGCACTTCCTATTTTTACATTTTAAAGCAGAAATTGTACTGTTTTCTGTGTTCAGAAGAGGTTTGAGGATCCCCGATTCTGAGTGCTTCACAAATGAGAGGAAACAATTCTTGAGAAAAATTCAAGTGAGATAAGTTGGGAGTACGGTTAGTGAAAATAGGTTGGCAGGAAATGTGATAGAAATAGGAGCAGAAGGTTATACGCATTCAGTTTGCACAATTAACAAGTCTCTTCTTTGTGTATAGCCATATGTATTCAAGACAGCTGTGTTACTGCTTCCTAGCTGTTTTTTGTTACAAATCCAAAAATGTAAAATGTAAAGAAAAGGGAAATTTAAAAAACAAGGATGTGACTATGGATTTGTAATTGAAGTCGGTCTATTAAAGAAAGAAATAATATTCAAGTTTAGCAAGATGAGTTTTATACTGGTAATAGTAATATTAAAAAAATGCTTCACATTTAGGTACTGTCTTCTGTGTACTACAGTGACAATGGTAAATATATAGTTGTATTTCTACCCTCAGCCTGTTCCATGTTAATAGAGTTGATACGAGAGAATATTTTTGCCTCTGTTTGTTAGGCACAATGTCAAGAAGTACGGAAAAGGAAAGAACTTGAACTACAAATACTAACAGAAGCGATCCGTTGTTGGGAGGGGGAAGATATTAAAACACTTGGCAACGTGATTTACATGTCCCAGGTCATGATTCAGTGTGCTGGAAGTGAGGTAATGTAGTTCTCATCTTTATTGTCAGTCTTCCTTTCTCTTTTGCAGTTAAATTGATAATAATCATTTGGTAGCAGAATAAGAATGTATTTTTATTATTGATCTAGAATAAAATCTTTCTGCATTGATTTAAGGCTTTTATAATAAAATAAGAAATAAGCTACTTGAATATAGGTGTTCTCATTTGTAGATAGATTCTGATGTGGTTTAATGATAAGCTGCTCTCCTGTATAATCAATTAAGCTTTGGACTTGTTGGGAGTTTTTGTATTGCAACCATATTCAATCAGTTTCCTCCCTTATTTATGAGGAAAGAGGAAAGTGCTTTTGCAACTGAATTCTTTAAAGTTTGTCACCAGATAACTTGCTACCACATATCATGTTAGCTGTTTAAAACAAATCTATCAATAGAGCTGATAATGCATCTCCTATTGCTGCATCTTGTTTTAAAGAAAAAGAATCCACATCAAACTCATAATTACAGTGTCAAATGTAATGGACTCTTAGAAGCTTCTGTGTAGCAACTGCTTTTTGACTAGATATAGAACAAATTAGTGCAAAAGCATTTGCTTTTTGTCTTTTAAATGATGTACACGTTTGTAAAGACTGAGAAACAAATAGAAACATTTTAACTTGGTAAGAACCTGTATGGTATAGCAGAGGTGTTAGAAATTGAAACAATCACTTTAAAAGGAATATATTTGTCATTAAAATGAAAACTTTGTGTTAATGCTCATCTTAAGTGCAACCATCAAATTAAAAGAGAACAAAGCAATGTTGTTTCCATTCTGAGTGTAAGCATTATTACTTTCATAATCTTTTTCTAGTTCTGATGCTAATCTGATATTTTGTAAAAATCTGATTTTATATTTGAGAGACAAAAGTTTTGCCATTATAGTAACAGTATCTGGTCAAGTTTTGTATATTGTGTGTGTGTATATATATATACACATATATATTAATGTTCTTGGATTCAGTGAAGTCAGCAAATTGGGTGTTACTAAATTAAACAAGGCTAGTATTTCACCCAAACTATAAAATTAATTATTTAAGTGATAAAGCTCTGCTTTCCAGGAAGGAGTATAGGCATGTCACTAGCAGTTTTCAAATAGAAAATGAAATAATTCTAATTTGTTCTACCTTTATGGGAGTTTAATTTTGCCAGGGGCAAGTATTTGTGGTGTAACTGTAGAGTTGTAATTTTGCTGATCATTTTAAATAATATAAAACGTGAGAAGGGGTCTTGTGATGTTGTATTTACTTTTTCATTTTCTTTTTTTGATAAGGAAAAGAATGAAAGGTATCTTCTTCTCTTCCCTAACATTTTGTTAATGTTGTCTGCCAGCCCAAGAATGAGTGGGTTCATCTATCAGGTAAGGTAATACGTTTACATCTGTGTAAATGCTGGCATGTATTTTTGCCAAATATTTCATAGAAAACTTGGGTTGTTAAACTTCTATTTTTACAAGTAGAAAAGGTAGTTTCTGCAACAAGAACTGATCATTTATTTAAAAAACAAAACAGAAAACACCAAGAAAACAACCTAGAATAATGAGGAGAAAAAAATTGTTCCTTCATTAGTAGTGATTCATCTGCCATTTGAGATTCCTACGTGGTTGTCTGCATCCAGTCACAAACTGTGTGACTTTATTAGGAGCAATTAAATTGTAAAGTTCACTTTTTGTATTCATGGGAGTAGCTGAATTTATCTGACTGTGGTGTGTTAGGTGGTTCATTTAGATAATTAAGCTTCTGTTAGCTTTGTGCTGCTCCCAATAACCTTTGGTCAGTGTTCTGTCCTGATGTAGATGGACAAAGATATTAAGAAAGGCAGGTGAGTGCTAGATCTCAAGTAGCACAATCAGAATTCTCAATGAAGGAAGATGCTTGTACTCTGGTTACAAAAGCAACTGACTGTAAATTTTTGTGCTAAGAAACACGCAATATAGAATTAAACAATGAATCTGTCAGGCTTAATTCTGCCCTCCTATTTTGCATTGCATATGCTTTTTTCCTTCTCTGTCCCATTTTGTCCTTCAGGTGCACAGCATTGTTCAGTAAACTAGCAATTTTCTGTGCACTTATTTTCAGCATCTGTTCAGTATGTTCATGACACTTCCTTAGTATTTACTGCCCAATCCTCTGTTGAATGCTAAACTATTAATTTCTCATAAGTTCTAATGTGATTTTTTTCTCAACATTAAGAACTCCTTATATCTTAATGTCTGCATTTTCATAGCAAGGCAAAATTGTTTAATCACACGGAGTGCTTGGAGAGTGAGACAGTGGCTTGGAGCTGTGTCAGGATTGCATGGTATTTGCCATACGGATTTCTATTTTGAGGTTCTTGTCTTCTAAGTAGGACATGAGCAGATGAAAGATGCAACTCCCTCAGTTGTTCCAAAAGAAACAGGGTCCTTGAAGTCAGCATCTGTACCTGATGTCTCTTTTCCTGATTGGTGCATGTTTATAAACTGAGAAAAGAAGAAAGTTCCTGATTCTTGAAGTTTAGGTGTAAGCTGCAGCTTCTCTGACTTTACAGTGTATTCTCTTTGTAGTTCTGAGTATTTGATGTCAGTAGATGTCAGGTGTTCTGGGGTCATAGTGCTGGTATTTGCCATGTGAGTTAATGGGGAGTGTATTTAGCAGTAGTAAGTGGAAGTTGTCAGGAGTGCAAACAGTGTTTTATGAGAGGGTCTCACAATTGTCTGTTGAAAGGAAGGAGAACGCAAGCTCTCTATCTTTATACTTCTGGTTTCCATGTGGCTCGGGTGATCATTATTCTGTTGTCAGTCTCTTGCCTGGTGCATTCCCAGATTCTCTTTTTGTTTGTGTCTTCAATTCTTGCACCTCACTTCATTGTGGCTATGCTGTGTTGTTCAGGAACCAGTAAAAAACTGAAAAACAGATTTTAGGCTGCATTGTAAGGTACAGCACTACCATGTTTCCTTCATTGGAAAATTTGTAGCAAAAAATCTTTTCTTTGGCATCTTGTGATTGAGCATGTTTTGTGCATAGAGAACACCAAGTGATTTCAGTTCAGCTTGTAAGAAGCCTTTGTCCATCCTGCAGTCATTTAAAAAAAATAATAATAAAAATTCCCCTTCTTTGGAGCCAAAATTCCTCAATACGTGGCGTTTGCACTTTTGCCAGCATGTTCTGAATAGTGCTTCTGTGTAAGAGAATAAAGAATCTGTCTTAAAGAACTTCTTAATAACATTGCATTTTTGGTAAAGCCTTTCATCCTGACAGTGTTGCATTTTACCTGTTCTTCTGTGTTTTGAAAGGGCCAAAAAGTTACCCAGACTGACTTTTTTTTCCAGACTGGTTGGGCTTAAAATGAGAGTAGGTTTGTTTTCTTAATATATTTGAGAGTGAATTTGATAGCAAATTGATGCAAGTCTTCAGTATATAATTGATGGATTTGTTTAATGAAATCTTCCTTTCTAAATATACCACAAACAAAATTTGTTTGCAGCAAACATATATGCTTTCAGGTCAGTCACCATTGCTTCTGATCTTGTAATAGGGATGACCCTGAATGTCTCAGTTCCCAGAACATGAGACTATGATGGATGACTGCTGTTACGATTGTATGAATTTGTAGCCTGCATAGGTATCAAATAGACTCACTAAAGTCACAGATGCTATTTGCAGATATTTGGCTTAAAAACTTTTGTTACAAGCTGTCTGTGTGGATTTGAAAATATTTTAAAGCCATCAGCATGTGTTTGCATGATTGCTAGTTTACTGTATTGCACGTGTTCATTCAGGACTTTACCAAGTAAAACGTATATAATTTAATGTTTTTTTGTATATTTTGGCTTTAACTTCACCATTAACTGCTTTTTTTTTTTTAAGGGGAAGCTACCAATGACTGGAATGACTATCACAAAGCTAGAAGACAGTGAAAACCATAAAAATGCATTTGAAATATCAGGTACTAGTTATAAATATTTTTATTTGCTGTTTACTAGACTGTGCTGCTCTCTTTAAGGAAGAGAATTTCAGACAGTCTGGAGGAGCTTTAATCAAGATCTTTCTTTTAGGAATGGTCAATTTCTTTACTGAGGGACCTTCAGTAGCTCTGCTATTCACGATTGCAATAGTGCTTGTTTTGGATGTTTTCTGTCTATCAAGTGATTTGTTTTAGCATGTAACTTAATTCCCTGGGCCATAAAGTCAGAAGCATAGGAATATACTTCTGGAGCAAAATCCTCACCGTGGAGACTTACGCCTTTGTTTGTTTCCTGGATCACTTCTGCCTCCAAGCAGGATGTGTTTCAATGAAGTAAAATTGAGGCTCTCAAGTGGCAGGGAGCGTAACACATCAGTGCTTCAAGGTGGAGGGAAAAAGCAGTTGATGGCACTTGTTCTTCTGAGATAATAGCTATGAAGCTGACCTCAGATGAGGAATGTGATGGGTTAAAGTGGAGTTAACTGCAGAAATTGAAGTAACCCTTGGTAAAATCTTCCAGTGGTGTTCCCAAGTGACTCTTGCCTCATCTTTCATATTAGATTCGGCCTGACCTTCCGACCTTCTCTGAACAATGCTTTGATTTTTCCTATACTGAAGCTTATGTACTAACGGGTGACATTGTAGGCTATATGTTAGCTTTCCTGGAAAAAATGGAAAAGTGTAAAGCTAGTGGATTCATCCTCTGGAGCCGAGGGTGGACCTGTGTTTTACATATATTACTTATAATAATGGTGTTTAATTATCAAAGATAGATAAACAGGTAGAATCCTTTTGCTTCATAGAGGAATAAATATGTGTAGGAAATGTTATCACATGGAAAAATGTCTTTTTTTCCAAAAATACTGGTTAAATTTTTTGCATAGTAATTGATGAATATAATGTTTTATGAAATGTGCATCATGTGTTATCATGTCAGTTTGACTAAGTTGTTCTTCTGTGGTTTCCTACATCTTATTTTTTCTGTCACCTAGGAACTATGATTGAAAGGATACTGGTGTCATGTAACAACCAACAAGATTTGCATGAGTGGGTCGATCACCTGCAGAAACAAACCAAAGTCACAACTGTTGGGAATCCCACCATTAAACCTCATTCTGTGCCATCTCACACGGTAAGAAAACTCTTTAGGCATTGAAGTGAATCAGCAGTGTGTACAGAATTAAGTAATCTGCAAATGTGCTGCTATGTTAAGCATTTTCTACTATGTTACCATTAGTAACAAAAACTATATGTTACAACTACAGTTTGCTTCAAAATATCATTTTGTTTTTAATTGCATGAGGGAAGAGTAGAATGTTTAGTTCTTGGTATAATAGTTTAACAAGGTTAAAATAAAACAACAAACAATTATCATGACTTCTGTGTTGACTAAGTAATATGTCATCATCTTTTAAGTACCCTTAGAATAGTAGGTTTTAACTGGTGATGGTGTACTTGAGTCTGTGGAGAAACAATTTCCTTTTGTTGGCATCTTTTGTATTCTGGAGTTGGTATGAATAGATCTTAAATTAACTCTGACCTTTGTGGTGAAAGAAATGGGAGCTGGGCTGCTTGTAGCTGTTCTTTTTCTAATGCATGCTTTCTCTGTGTTAAACAAAATGTTTTTATGCTCAGTTTTTCCAAATAATAGTTCAGTGTTAAAATTTTAAAAACTTAAGTAACACACAGAAGGACTAGATAAGAGATTTTCACTGGTTCCTTGTGATAGTTTGTCTTTATGACGATGACATGCTTTCTTTCCCTTCCCACAACCACTGTCTTTGACAGCTTCCTTCCCATCCAGTAACACCCTCCAGCAAGCACTCGGACAGCAAGCAGATACCACTGACCCCTGCATACCACACTCTCCCTCATCCGTCACATCATGGGACTCCACATACCACGATAAACTGGGGACCTCTGGAACCTCCTAAAACACCCAAGCCCTGGAGTCTGAGCTGTTTACGGCCTGCGCCTCCGCTACGGCCTTCAGCAGCACTTTGTTACAAAGAGGTGAGGTGCAGCAGACAAAAAAAAATATTACTGCACAGTCTGCCTATGGTGAGAAATGTAACTCTTTCACATACCAATATTTTACAGTTTTTGTGTGTGTGTGCATTGAGTTAGCTCTGAATCAGTGGTAATGGACAGTGAAAGCTGTTCATTTCAAGTAGACATTTATTCTCATGGCTCAGAAGATACAAAGGTTTGTTAGAAGAGTATGTTGACACCTTTTCCTCCCTGCCAAGTATTTCCACTTATTTTCTAACTTTAAGAAGTTTTTTTTTAAAACCCATCCAACAAAAACTAGCAATTGATCATTCCAGCTTACTGTGAAGTTGCTTGCTAAGCATACTGAGGAGCATCTAGTATAAGGGATCTTATGGTTCTTGAAAGTGCAGTATGAAATCATTCTGAACAGCTGTGGTGGTATAATGGGCTCTTGGTTCACAGCTTAAATTTTAAGATGCTGTTGTAGTTTTTAATTAGCATATGGTATGAAGCAGGAATCTGCTCTAAGAGAAATACAACGATGGGGATAGGTTAATTTGGTCCTTCTGTTACACTGTGTGTGCCTTTGTAAATACTGAGAAACTATTGGATTTATGTATGAAGGTCTGGGTATAAGAAAGAGAATACTGAACGTTGTGTGTCATGGTGATATCTTCAGGTTTAATATTTTTCTGTTAGGCATTCTTATGATTCTAATTTAGTACTAAGCAACAGAACCCAAAAGGAGTAGTGAATTTAGAATCATAGGATCACCAAATGGTTTGGGTTGAAAGGGACCTTAAAAGTCATTTAGTTATAAACCCCTGACATGGGCAGGGACACTTTCCACTAAATCAAGATGCCTAAAGTTGTGCCTGTGAATGTATTTTTTTTCTTTAACCATATGATGTTAAGAGAAAAATGTTATTTTGCAGGCATGTGAATTTGCAGTTTAAACACAGCCTAAACACAGTGCAGTGTGGTTGTTTTTTTTGTTTGTTTGTGCTGGGTGTGCACTTGTGACAGTTATGACTTTCTTTTTTCCTCACTTTGTACATCTGCTAAACAGCAGGGTGTAAGTGATAGGTGGCCTTCAATTAGATGCTTAGTATTTGGGCTTGGTTGCTACAAGAGGTTCTCCAGATTAGCTGTACTACATATTCATCTCTTTGTAAGTTAAATTGTTTTCATGTCTTTTGTGTACGGCACTGCATTCTCCAGTATGGTTAAGTCTTACTCGTCAGGTGTTTAGCCTATGATGGTATTCAGTCTATCTTCATCATCTCCAATCTGTCCTGCTGATTCACCTTTTTACTTTCTTGTTCTGTACTTTTATAGAGGATGGCTCATACCTGTAAGGTAAGGGGTAGATGAGAATATTCCTTTTTGTTCCTGTAAAATTAGCAGTTTCTCAAAGTTAGCATTGTTTCTCTAAATTAGCATGATTATATTTAGAGCAGAAATGCTGTTCGTAGCTGTATTTCTTTTGCTGTAGGTCTGTTCTGATAAAGCTCCAAACATTTAAAAATGCTGACTTTAATGAATATAAGTATACTACCTCCCAAGCTTCCTTTTTTGGTCCTTTTTTAACCTGCTTCTAAGTAGACAAATTAAATGGGTTGTTTCTTCAAAGATTAAGGGAAAAAAGTGCTAATATATGCTTTTGTGTTTCTTTTGCTCCAGTTCCCAAACAGCCTGCATGCTTTTGCAGCAGCTTTTCTGTATATTTCTGTTCACAGAACAGATAAAATATCCAACTTGGTGTATAGTTGGAGGAGGAATAGAAAGGAAATGAGCCGGTTCAGGCAAATCTCATGTGCCAAAGAATATTAGTAAACTGAATTATGGCACTGTGCGTCTTAGAAACTAACCTTTGAAATATTTTAGAGAAGCTCTACTCTTTTTTTTTTTATTCTCCCCACACAGGATCTAAGTAAGAGCCCTAAAACCATGAAAAAGCTGCTTCCCAAACGCAAGCCAGAACGGAAGCCATCAGATGAAGAATTTGCACTGAGAAAAAGTAAGAGACTTGAACAAATGTCTGCATAGTACAAAGACTGGAATTAACATCAGTTTAAATTCTTTAGATTTTAGCAAGTTAGATGTAAGTCTAAACAGTCTGGTTTCCTCTCCCCTGGCAGGGGAGAGAAGGTAGGTATCTACAGAGGACTGTTTCTTTTATTCACCTTAGGCACTTATGTCACACCAGCATAAGTAGCTTTCTAGAGTCATGCAGTTGACTACAAAATACAGGAACTTATTCAAGGCTAGGTGGGAGGCATCCTACTTTCCTGTGTTAGTGTATGTACGTAGATGGGGAAAAAATGTGTGAGGAGGAAGGCAGAAATAGCAGGATGATGCACAGATATTTATTTACTTCTAATTATGGCTCTGTCAGCAGCACTTGTACTGTGTTGCTTTTTCTAATTAGCAATTAAATAACTTGCAAACTTAATCTCAGTATGTTTAGAAACTTTTTTTTTTTACTTTTACCACTTGGATAATGTTATTGCTCCCACCAATAAGTAACTGTTTTTGGTACCTTTGCTTTAGGTGGCACTCATACCCTCTGATCAGATGTGTTCTATGAGGTCTAATCATTGCAGGTTCCTTTGTGGTCAGAGAAAGGTGCTTGGTCCTGAAGCAGACAGGCAGACTAGGTCAGGTGATGTAGGGTGTTGAAGTGCCTTGTAAATTTGTGTGAATGAACGATCCAATTGCTTGTGTCAGTAAAAGATAGATAAGGTGTTTAAAATAGCTGATGTTCACACTTGAAGGCCAGAACCTTTTATTCCAGCTTCTGCTTTTGTGTCTGCTCTTTGCTCATGAGCTTCTTAAGTCTATGTGCCTTGACTGCTGAATACATGAAGTATGTTACTGTTAACATTGTCTCTCCTCCTATCAGACAGCTTTTCAGGATTTCCTTAGTTTTCATCTTGTTACTGGCATAAGGAAGAAAAATAGATTTAACTACAAAATGATAGTAAATTGGTTGTCTATTGTCCTGCATTATACAGTGCAGTCCATTCTAGTCATGTCCCTGATGCTACAGTATTTTAGGTCTGCCTTATTGCCTTCTGTGTGCAGCATGTGTATAGTCTTTTAGTAAATATGGGGAGTAGCTTCTGTTTGTTCAGATTAGATTAGAAATACATCTGGATTATAGAAACCCAGGTTAACTGAGTATCAGTATCAGTGAGAGCTGAGGTAATAACAGGCTCTGATACTCAGCATTACATGAACACTAGACGTCTGTGTATGGGCTTGGATGGTGTATATGTGTGTGAGTCTTGGCCCTCATTTAGTCCATGAATCTCTGGGTGTGTTTTTCTTTAGTGATAAAGTTTATAGTTTAAAAGAAGCTTCTAAATATTTGTTTGTCATCTGGCTCACACTTCATTTAAACATGATTCCTTTCTATAATTTTAAAAAATTTGTTATGAATTGACCAAATCTGTCCAAACTCTTAAAAACCTCAGTAACTGAGTATGGTTATGGCTCTCTGTAATATGACAGAGCATTTTTTCTAGTTCGGTCTTATTCCTTGCTGTAGAAGATAGCATGTGGTGAGTTGCTGTTTTCATCAGCCTAAGTATCAGGCATAAATAGAAGCTTCACCTTTAAAATGGGATTTTTTCTTCCCCCTTGCGTGAGTAATTAGGAGCTTAAGTTTTGTGGTAGTGCTCCTTCAGCCTGTTACAGTCTGTGGAGATGTAAGAGTTTTCCATTGAAGGATTTCTATCAAAACTAAAGCTTTCTGATAAATAAGTTTGTGTTTTATAGCAGACAAACGAAAGAAAGGCATTTCAGCTGAGTACTGATTTCAGAAGTGAAATACTTGTTTTGCTGTGGTAATGATATGGTGCTGCTTTCTAACTACAACAAAATCCAATTATTTTTCTTGCCTTGAAAGAGAGGGAACTTGTACTTTGGAATGCCTGCATCTCTTGTACTGTGGGTAAACCATACCTGGTCAAGATACTTCAACAGTTAGTTTGTTATGCAATCCTGACAAAATATTGGACAGTTGACTTTACTGTCACAATAATAAATTACAAAAAACAAATCTGGATGCGCTGGTTCACAGATGATACTATTACATCATGATGTTTAAAGCATTATATTTTTTATAGTAATTTCTCTTTCCATTGTTACTTTCAGCCATTGAAGCTTGATTTTTGAAATGATTAAGAATTCTAAAGGTTTGATTAGACTGAACTTTGGTCTCAATTCAAATATGTACAATTTAGCTTTAAACAAACGTTGTTTACAAAGGCCTGTCTGTAGTAAGAAACACATGCCCATATTTAAAACTTTATTTTCCATTGCTTCTAGGTACAGCTGCTTTAGAAGAAGATGCTCAAATTCTTAAAGTCATTGAAGCATATTGCACAAGTGCCAAAACACGTCAAACACTAAATTCAAGTAAGTTAGAAAACACCGATACAACTAACTAAGCCACTTATCAGATTGTTTAAAAAAAGATAAGTGTAGTGTAAGTGGTCTTGAACTTTATAAACAACAAGCTGGACCTGAAATAAGTTAATAATCTGATTTTGGCTTAGTAATAGTGCTTATGTATTTGGAAGCCAAGATTCACATTTATATAGTTCTTTCAATGCTTATTTTAAATAAATTAGAAGTGGCTGCTTGGATTTAAAATTGCCAATAAATCAGAGGTTTTGAGTTGTCTTGCTAGAATACGACAGCTGTCCAATGTGGTTTTTGATTAATTTCAAGAAGTTGTTGGTAAGTATTGAGGAATGAAGAATAAATCACAATTGTGGAGAAGTGTACTTCTGTCTTGTTTGGTTCAACAGTCTTCTTTTACAGAAAAGTAACATGAACCTGTACAAATCTTTTTAATTGCCATCCATTGTTTTTAGTATTTAATTTTAATTTAGTATTTAATTACAAACTTTAATCCTATGTCGTAACTTCAGGAGAAACTGTTCTCAGATCTTTGTGTTGCTTAAAGCCATTTATAGTTTCTCAGTTTCAATATCTAGTGTATTGAAAACTTGTAACGTGCCTCTGGGGTCCTCCTTCATTTAATCCAAATCAAGGTTGCCATGTGGAGTTCCTCTGTGTTGTAAGTAAGATGTTGCTCAAAGCAGGGGAGTCCATCAGCATGTGTTCTGCTTACACAAGAAAGGAGAAAATGCTGTTAGGTTTGTTCCAATTTGCACCATTTTCCCACTGATGATTAGGGATTTAATTGAGGTGTCCTTGAAATGCTGTATAATGATGCTGGAGTACCTGGCTGTTTTTGCTATTGTCAGGAATTAGAAGGATAGATATAATGAATAACACCTAGTCCATTGTTTAAATTAGTGTTAAACACTGTTACTGCTAGCCACAGGTCTCTGTGCCTGTGTCTAAGCAGAAGCACTTTCTGCAGACAGTGAGAAGTCTCAAAGTGCAGTTGCAGGCATAGATCACATATTTACATAATACATGTTCACTTACTGTTATCACCTTGAAAAATGCAGAAATTTTGTATACGCGTGTACTTCAAAAATGGGAATATAACCCTTGTTTTAGGCTTTTAAAACATTTGAAGTAAGAGCAAAAACCTTCATTTTAATTCTGATCTTGACGGACTGTAGATCTCCAAGGTGATAATTATCAGTTTCAAAAATTGGCTGCTATAACATTATTTTTGCTTAACGTTTGACCAGTTTTCTGGCTCTACAGTCATTATTGTAGTGTGTTGAATTGGATAAAAGGAAATTAATGTGTTCAAAATTGTGAAGATCTGCTGCTGTTCCGACAAAATTGAGACGTTGCTGTTAAATGTATTTAATTGGATTTGTTGATTATATTCAAGGATACTGTGACAAGAAATGGTTGGGGAAACATTTGCACTTGCACAGTTGTGTGTGTGTGCAGACATCTAATGGATATGATATTTTGCTTGCTGTTTTTTTTTCCTTTCTATGTATATTTAAGAAATATACATAGTGCAGTTGGTATCATTGCATACATCAGAAATCAGCAGCTTTTATTTGCTCGTAATTGCAGCAAGAAACAAGTGTTTTGCTGCTTCGTTTGGAAAGAGTAGTGTTGCCATCTAAGATATCAAGTTTCTGAAGATCCCTTTGTAGATGGGAATTGAAAATTGAAGGGAAAATGATGCAGGGATTCCTTCTGTGGAAGCATTGGTCAGTATAGAAAAACAGAATGAAAGAATTGCCTATCATCAGTGAAATATGCCACTTTTACATACCACTGGCTTACCTCTGTGCTAGTTCTCTGCCTGGCCCTCCATCACTGATTTGGTATTTCTGCTAGCTGCACCTTAATGCAAAGCCTCAGAAGTGCTACCCTTGGTGATGCCAGCTTAGTGTTGCTGTGGCACTAGTGCATGTTGGATGGGAGTGGCATTAGAGGTAACAGTGCAACTTTTTCTTTTTGAAGGTGGGGCAGATGTAGGGATTAGTTATATATGCAAATAAAATAACCGTCAGTTTCCTCTGTTGCTTATATGCCGTGTTTACTTCACATCTCTGTTCCAAATGAAGGCTTAAATCTTTTGCAGTGTCATGCAGATTGTGGCTTGTAACATGGCCACTTACATAGTTTCAGTTTTCAGATACTGCCAAGCTTTTTTTTATTAAAAAAAAAAACAGAACAAAATAGCAACACAACAACAACAATCAAAAAGGGCAAACAGGTGAGAGAAAGTGTCTTTAACCATCTTTATCTACTATTCTAAGCATTTAAAGTATCTAAATGCAAAGACAGATTCAGATGGAGGCCAGTTAGAAGAGGTGTGTGAGGGTATGTGAGGCACCAGACTGTACTGCTGTTAGTCTCTTGGCCTTGTTTTTCTATCAATCCAGTTTCTACTTGGTTAAACAAATAATAGGGTTACAGGCACAAATAAGCTTCAGCTTGGCAATCCCTTTGAGTGGGTATGAGATGGTGCTGCACATGTAGAAAGTTGGCAGCTCTGCTCTGCATGAGAACCTTGCTTTTTTTCCCCCTGCATTTTCCTCTTTGTAGTAGTGACACAAGCACTTATGTGGCTGTATTGTGAGCTGGTGGGAAATAATTTGTCTACCTGAAAAATAAAAATGAAGGGTTAATTACCATTTGAAGCTGTTCCCTGACCTGGTTCACCAAGCAGCTGTACAAATGGCTGTGTCATTGCAAGGGAGGGGAAGGATGAAGGTATGGATGTGTAATGGGGAAGGGGCTGTTGCTTTTCACATCAGCACTGGGTCATGCTGGCTTGCTGTGTTTATTGATCTGTCCCAAATCAGAATGCCCCCAGACCAGAACTGATTCTTTACTTGAAAAGAATCGAACTCCTTCATCCAAAAAATCTACCCTCAAGCAAGATTTTGGTTACTCAAAATTCTCAGCTGAGACTGCTTGTAAGCTTAAAAAAATGCTTCAAAAATTTTATTGTAACAGTTCAAAAATTACTACAGTGAGTGTAATTTATACCTAAATCCCAAACAAATTAAAAAAGAAAATGAAAAATAGAAAAAACTTTGGTGCCTTTTTAACAATATTTTCTCTTTTCCTTCTCTTCCCATCACCTTTTGCTTTTATTTCATGTGTTTGGTTGTGGCTATTCCTTACGTTCTCCTCCTCATCCCACCTCTGCCTATCCACATCCACCATTTCATTTCACCTATACATCCTTAGCATGGCAAGGCACTGACCTGATGCATAATCACGTCTTGGCTGATGATGACCAATCAAGTCTAGACTCCTTGGGTCGTCGCAGTAGTCTTTCTCGTTTGGAGCCTTCAGACCTCTCAGAAGACTCTGACTATGACAGTATATGGACAGCCCATAGTTACAGAATGGGGTCTACATCTCGTAAGAGCTGTTGCTCATATATCTCTCACCAGAACTAATGCACTTCTGAGCTTTTTCTTAACAAATGCTTGTTGTATCACAGCCTGCTTTTCTTAGATGTTTTCTTGCTGTTCCTTGTCTCTTTAATGTGATATTTTAACAACTTCTGAGGGAGCTTCTGAAACTTCAGTCATACCTGGTGGAAGGCTCTATTGCCAATGCACATACAAATAAGTGGTTCTAAAAAGTGTATATCCTGCCAAGGATGATATTTCTTGAGGGTTTTTTAAGTGACAGATATTAATTTGTAGCTCTGAATGTACTTTTGGTTTTGGTCAGTGTAGCAACAGGTCCTTTTTTCTTTTTTTCTCCTTTTGGATACAGCACATTTTTGTATTTTGTACTGAAATCATACTGGCTTATGAGCTGAATGCCAGCAATATGGAAATACTTCAGTGATAGCTGTTGAATTTTCTACACCTTATTAACAAAACATGGAGCTGGTAGTAAGAAAAATATGGTTTAAAAATAAAAAGTACAAGAGCTATAAAATCATTCAGATTCACGTATCTGGCCCGTTTGTTTGGAAAAGCGTTTGCTAATCCGTGAAAACTTGTTTTTATACTACTGTCTCTTCGTTGCTTAGACATCTATATGAAGGATTGCACTGCTCTCCCCCTCACCCTCAGTCTGGCGCTTGTCATGAAAACCCAGCAGTCCATGCTCATCACATGCAGTGTTTTGATAATCTCATATTACCCGTGGTCATGTTGTCACTTTACTGTACGCAGTAGTGTGGCAGAAAACAGGGTTTAGATGTTTACTTCCCTGTTAAAATGCACAGCTTTCAAATGACCATTCTTCCTCAAAAGACAAGATGAAAATCGTTCCCCAGATGAAAGCTCAAGTGTTCAGCACCTGAAACTCTAGGTACAACTGCAATCAAACTGGCTTGTATAAAGTTCTTGAAAACAGAATGCTTGGCTTTTGGTTTTACTGTTTGGAGCATGTCCATGACAGATTTTGTCTTGTAACTTTTCTCACGAGCAGGTTTGTTTTCAGCAACAGCTCTTCACCTACAATCATGTTGGCTTTTCAGAGAACTGTGGCACCTTATACACGGCTGGTTGTCTTGAACCTGTACCCGGGGCATGGCTGGGGTGAAGCGTGTGTTCTGTCTTGTGGATGATGCAGTTGGGGATTGAAACAAAAATAAAGTGTTTTCCAAATCTTCTTTAGCATTAGAGAAAAGCAGATGATAAAAGGACAGAAATAGTTCTCATTTTCATCAGGATCTCTGAATGCAATTCCTCTATCCCTTTAAGTGTTATCCAGTGTACAGCTATTACTCTGAGCAAATTCAGAGTAATTATGGTGCCATTAATTGCTGCCTGGGGATTTGATCACTCGTTTAAAAGTTTACAAGTAATTAATACCGTCCTGCAGGTTACGTGATCAGAAAGTTGGTAATTGCTAGATATGAATGATTCCACGAGGTGATCAACATGGAGAAGCTAATTCAAAACACTTAATATTTGTAGATTTGCATTTCATCTTGCATTGTTTGATCACCTGCTTTATGTTTTATCACTGTTGCTTGTATTTGAAGGCTTGACTAACAAAAGCAGTAATGCTTACTAAACAGAATTTTTAGGGGCACATCTTACTAGCAGTCATATATTAACTGAATGGCCAGGAACTTGTATATGTTGAACTTTTTCCTAAGAGGAGGAGTGTTGCTTAGAGAAATGAAACAAGTGTGTGTGCTCCATACCATTCCACAGTGCATCTGTAAGCCACTTCACTTCCCCTTTTCCTTTGAGTTTTTGTTTGACATGTATGGAAAGTTTGGATTGTTTTTTTTTTTTTTACCCTGTTAAGCTGTGGTGTTCTAGTTAAGTAATGTTTTCTGCATTAGATCAATGATAATTCTTTTATGTCTGTTTCATGTTACAGTGTAAAATAAGTTGGAAATACAGTTGCTGCACTTGAATTTCCGTATCACGCAGAATGTTTTATTGTCAAGATTTGAAGATTTTATTGACTTTCTATGCACCAAAGCTTTGACAGTTTACCACCATTAATTACTGTAGCATTTAAGTCGTTAACTTTAGTTAAAGTTCATAATTATGATCCCTAATGTTATTACACGTTTAAATCATGCAGTGTTACAGACCACTAACTATTGTGAATTGATTAGCAGTATTACTGCAACATGCTTAAAAAAAAAATAAAATAAAAAGCCAAGTGGAAATGGTGGTATTCAGTCCAAAGGTTCAGTGTTTCTATTTTTGTGGAACTTCAGTCATGGTAATAATAGTACCTTCTGTTTATGCAATTCTGTATTATATATGTGTACAGTTACTAATATACTGGAAGGATGGAGAATCTGAGTTAGAAGGTAGGTTCAAGCCATTGTCAGCCCCTCTTCACATGGCTTACACAGTGTTCCCATAAATTGATATTTGTTATAAATTGAAGCCAACAAATATTAATTGCGTGTTTTGCATAATCTTGCCAAAACACAGTAATGTGTATATAGTGACGTAAAACATAGAAAAATTAATATATATTGTGCACTTCATTTGTGAATGGGAGAAGCCATTTTCAGTAGGTAACTGCCTTTTGAAAATACAAAATGGATGTATATCTGAATGTTGCATTGTACTGTACAGTATGCATATTGTTTGTGGTTGCATATATCAATTAAGTGTTTTGTTTTATATAAAAAAGGACATCTGTTATGTACAGTTGAAATAAATTTTGCATTTGCTAGACTGTGACTTTAATATTTAATTATTACACAGGGGGAAAGTACAGCATAACTGTTAACACTTGACTCCCTTTTGTCCCAGTACCTCCTTTCTTCCCTCCCTTCTCCATAGAAGAATCAAATGCTAAAGTGAAAAAGCTTTTTTGAGTTGTGTATAATCTTTGTTTAACGTAATTGGCAACCACAGGAAATTCCGTATAATGTGAAGTATGTGTCTTGGTGTTTATTTTCAAATAACTGTTCAGAAATTTTGTCACTCATAGAATGCTTTTGTAGTCTCCCTCCCTCCTTAATTATCTTTTTTCATTTTCTGAATTGGTATATTTTCAGTAAAAGCACAGTTGAATAATTGGAACAATTTCAAATGTGCTACTGCAGAACTTGTTACTAGAGATACAGTTTATGAATATATTGATTTCTACAATGTTTCTACAACTTTATTTATTTTCAGGATTTAATATCGTACATTTTTCTCTTTAAAGCAAGTCATCTTGTTTCTATTTAAAAAAGTCATATTTGAGTGTTCTAAAATAATTGTTTAATATATGTACTAATAGAACAAAATAGTTCTATCAAACAAACAAAATACAAAATCTAGTTCTGTTGAAAGGTCAATATTTTTTTTTTTTTGCTATGACTTAAGGTTAGGTTTTATCCTACAGCACTGTGGTTGCATTTTTATTTGTATTGCTTAGTGAAATGTAGTAAATGTTGTGGAATAACTCTTTCAAGTTATTGTCTTTGAAAAATTTGCCACTTCTTCAAGTAATGTAACTTGTCTTTCAAACTCTTCATTCTGTTCTTAAGTGACTAAAGCTTGGATGTGGAGTTGTATGTTTGTTTCAGTGTGATCTAATTATTTTCTTTTTATTCATCAGAATGTTTTGTTGTAAGCTGCCTAGATCTGTCATCTGAGTCTTGAGGGGTTCTTTTCTAGTTGTGAATTGCTGCTAGGAGGAAAAAAAAAGTAAAATTTTTGTGCTAGAATTTTTTGCTACTTGAAAGTTTCACAAAGAAATTATGTGTTTTTGCACAAGCTATTTAAGGGTAGACTCCCTTTTGACTTCTGACAGATCTGTAGCATGAAGGATTGCCTTTCTTTTCCTCTCAGTTCTTTTAATGTCAACACAGCTTGGGAGCTTTGACATCAGATGCAGTGAGAAACAGAAGATGAATTTTGCAGGTCTGCTTATCCACTTCAGCAACTTGAATGTAACTAATACAATGAAAAACTGTGTTCTAAATAAGTAATTCTTATTTTCTGTTAAACATTTCCTTCCACAGGAAAATGATGTGTCTGAATATACCAGTGGCTAACTTGTCTAAAAATTGTATATGGGCATGGATAGGTCGCTCTGAAAGCAATGCCTCCTGTTGATTTCCATGAAAGCTGCAACAAATACAAAGAGCACAATATTATTACTTAGAGCAAATTCTCAGCTACAGAACACTTTTTCAACACTGTCACCATCATTAGCTATTCATTTTTGCCATCAATGAACAAGAGCCTCTGGGCAATGCATTTAATGATCTGCATGACTGTCAGGAACGTGGCTTGTCTTTCATACTGCTCTTGCCATTGCTGCAACGCACTGCTCAGTGCCTCAGGGTGCTCACATCCACCATTTGTCGTCCATAAGTGTTCAGCACGTGTCTGTGAATGGCAGTTTTTTTCCTGCATGGAGGAATTCCTTTGTGCTCCTTTGCCTCTTACACACCTCTGTGTCAGACACCATTGTGTCACACTGCCCCTCTGCTGCCATCTGTTGCAGGGCAACAGCGTGTAATGGGATATTGGTGGGAAGGTTCAACCCCTGCTGCTGCACCACCACTATCCTCCTCTGACTTTGTGGGCCAACAAATCAGATAGGAGGCATTACTCTTGGAGCTGCCCTTGTATTTGTCTTTCAGTGGCAAGTCAGACTTCTGTCTCTGAAACTTGAGGAAATAATTTAGAACTATGTAGCTTATGAAGAGAGCCTAGTAAAGTCAGTAGAAAACACCTATACATTCGTAAATATTATTTCTAATTTTTGATCTTTTTATTGTGCTTTATCCACCTCCTTTCCTAATCATAATAAGGGTATGAAAATGTATAAGATCGCAATTCTATCAAGTTGTGCAGTAAAAACTTGATGGTCTGAAATTGTCAGGGTTTTTTTGATTGTTTTTTTTTAATGACCATCACTGCAAAACTAACTTTCTAGCTTAAACTAGAACCTCATAATCTCTGGGAAGAAGGCAAACTCATAGCACCACTGTGAATGTAAAGTACCCGGGTTGTGCCTTCTACTCAGAATGGCTAAATGGAGGAAGGAGCTCTGTTCTCTCACTTGTGAGGGGAGCAAGCTTTGAAATGAGGCCTGAATTTAACAGCTTAAAGAATGTGAAATGAGTACCCGCCTCCATATTGTTATTGGCTTAATGAGTTCATTTGTTTCAGACATGCTGAGAACTGCTTGCCAGTGTGGCTTGTTAGGCTGAGGTGGAGATCGAGCTGAAAACTAAAAGCAGTGGTCTGCTACTGACAGGCCTGCTCTGTGTGTCACATGTATGTGTTGCTCAAGGCCTGGTGGGCTGTGTTACTGTTTGCTTGATTCTATTGGTTTAGCAAACTCAATCTCCAATTTAGGGTGCAGTATTGGTAAGAAGCATTGTAACCCTTTGTTTACTGCTCTAGGGCTGGGAAATACTAAAGCTGAACCTTGACTTTCTCGATGGCATCTAAGTGAAGGTTGAATCTCAGTAATAGCGGTTTCTTATTTTGCCTTTGTCTGAACTATAAAGCACTCAACATGGGGTATCTCATTCTTCCGACATCCTGGATTTATGAGTTTCCCTACTGAAAAGTTATGGCAGCTTCCTCAGCTTTTATATTTCTCTGATCATCAATCAATTATTTGAGTTTGCCACACATCCCTTTTTCTCCCTTCTTTTAAGAACTCCACCAAAAAATAAAACTAAACCTTTCTGGTGAAGCTTGAGATTTTTTTTTTTTCACTATAGTTATTTTTAACCTAGGACTTCTGGTTGAATCAGGGCATTTAGGAGCAGTTTTTGGTGGTGAACCTTCTCTTTTTGCCTGTTTGGCTTGGACTCTGGATTCTTCTGTGCTCAGTATCTAGGATTACTTAAGTTGCAACAACTTCCTGACCTGTCCTCTTAGTACAGCCCTGTGCACAGCCTCCACTGTACTAGAATGCAGCTCCCTCTTCAAGTCCTAAAGCTGTAGCTTGTAATCCTTTCTGGAGAGAAATAGTTATATGGAGAACAGTCCCTGAGAAGCTTGTGGAGGCTGAAAGTTTAGTTTATGGAATATTGCTGAATACTAGTTACCAAGTAATGCTCTGTTTTGAAGTTCATTTGAGATGCAGAAAAGAAATAAGGCTTTTGGCATAAATGTTATGAAAAAGCAGGACAATTATGTAGCTTCATTTTGCCTTTTGAACTTAACACCTCAAATGGGACCTGACACATCAAACCTGACATTTCTGTGCACATACTGAGTCGATAACAAGATCCTCCTTTGTTGCAGGATACATGAGCTATTTGTTCGTTAGCAAATGCATACGAGTTTAAAAAGCAACTTTCTATTTACATGAGAGCAGTGAAGGTGAGGGTCACACCTGTGATGTCCTGAATTCTGCAGTAGTTGATACTCTGTGGCACAGGAAAGCCAGTGTTCGCATGAGCAGTTTACCTTGTGTAACTGTGTGTATGTCTATTGTGGGTCTCTTTGTATGTATAATGTTGGTGAACATTTTATGAAGCAGTGTATTCTGTCTCATTAGTATTGTTTATTGTACATGGATGAGAATATGCCAGTGTAGACTTTTACATGCATGTGTGTATATAACTGTATTGGATTATAAGGACTGATACAGAGACTCAGTATTTAGTAGTAACTGGTACCAACTAACGTCCTGAGATAACGTTTCACTAGATGTAAAATGTTACATCTCAGGCAAATGAAGCAAAGAGGTAACCAATTAATTAAAATAAACATAAGGTGACTTTTTTGCAGCTAAAGGTTGGTAGTGCAAACAAACATCCATGAGCCTGATTTGCTGTGCTTGTTTTGTAGATTGCTCCTTCCCTGCAAAATGAGGGAGGTTATTAATTCCAAAAGTATTTGTTCACTTCACAAGATCAAGAACTTACAGCTTTCAAGGACAAGATTCTGTTCTCAGATACGCAGTTGTCTTTATTCCATGAAGCTTGACCATCATGTACTGATATGTTTGATCTTTACTTTCAGGTTAAGGAACCTATTTTCTACGTTACAGATGTTTAAATAGTCTAATGAGCTTAATGTGTACTGCAAAACTATGTTCTCTAAAGCTCATTGTTCAGAACACAAGACTGCAGGTGTTAGAAAGTCACAATTTTCCGGGGAGATTGAATTTCCTTAACGTGGTGTGCTGAGGTCATATGTTTTATCATGAATTTTGAAAGAGAAACACTGTTATCACAAAACAGCTGTTCAGAGGGGGCTGTCTCCTGACAGGCACGTAACCCTGCCGTACCTGTGGAGCTGTGCAAACAGTGCTGGAATGGAGACATTCTTCATTAGTAAAAACTCATTACAGTGAATTGGTAGGCAAGCATACGTTGTTAATACTTGTATATCAGTCAAAATATGCAAGAATTTTAATGTCTTATCAGTGGTATTTGAATTCTAGACAAATGTTTAGACAGCAGTTTGTTTACAGCCCGTCTTTAAAAAATTTGTTGCAGTCTAAATAGTGTTTCTAGAGTACATACTTTATGAATGGATGCATAGCAGTTAGATTCTTCTATTATAAGCTACACTGTTAGAATTTGTATGAATTATTTTAATGTTAAAAACTGTAATGATTATAGAAAGCATTTTGAAGATGTTAGAATGTTTTGAGTATTTGTTAAGCCGTTAAGTACTTCTAAAAACTTATTTTAAAATATGGTTGCTGTATTTCATTTATGTGACTAAAAGATTGTCTTAAAGTGTATGTGCATGTATGTGTCTATGCACATATGCAATTGTGGTGTTTTTGGTGTTCTGGGGAAAGGGTTTTTAACTTTTCTGTCACTGTATCATTTTGGATTTGTATCAGTGTGAGATCAGAATCTGTCCTTGAGGCTTAAATTGCTGCTTCTTGAACATAATTATCTTTCTCTGACTCAGCTATGGTGAATTTGTATAGATCTGGCTGGTAGTGACCAGTGCCCTATTCATTGAACTGTGTAGCATCCCCATCAATAATGCAGAGGAGTTGTCATCACCAGGATGGAAATGTTAGACTATAGCTTTTTGTTGTAAGGCTGTGGTTTTGAATATAAAAAAAAAAAAGCATTAGTAATCTGTGTGTATGAAGGGAAGGGGGGGAATTGAAAGTGATATATCCTGGTCATGCGGGTGTATCATGCAGTGAATGAAATAATGATCTTTAAAATTCACCAGTGCTGCTTGCTAGGTTCTCATTTTGTCATCTATTTTTACAACAGGTTCCCGCAAAGAATCGGCTCCTCAAGTCCTGCTTCCAGAAGAAGAGAAAATCATTGTAGAAGAAACTAAAAGTAATGGTCAGACTGTTATAGAAGAGAAGTAAGAGAACATTTAATGAATGATGGATTAAAACAGTAAACTTTGTACTTCTCTTCCTCCTTCCATTTCTTACTGCAATGTGCATGGTATATAAATAGAAGGGGATGTAGTTGCTTGGAGTATGCTGCCAGTCCTTGTGAGTGCAGTTGGCCTTCAATTAAATGCTTGTTGCCTGACTTCTCTGCAAATGGTTCTCAATTTATTCCTTTTATGCCCCAGAATGTTATGCTTTACTTGTAAATAATTTTTCCAAGTGCTTTAGGATTTCATTATTAAATTGATGTTGTCTTTCTAGTTCACATGTGGTGTCATTCTGTTTTCTTTTGTTAAGGTGCATTTTGGAAGTCAGATGTCTTTCTGTTAAAGAAAACTATAACGTAGGAACTACTATAAGTCAATATGTGTTTTGAGGGGTGTAACCTGTTCAGAGAAGCTGATAGTGGGCCTGTGCTACTGTTAAAGAATATAAATCAGGATAAGAGAATTTTTAACACGAAGTTGAACAGATTTCATTTGTTTTGTCTAATAATAGATTTAAACATCATTATGAAAACCATTGTAACAGATGATCTTTTTTTCATTTTAGAAGCCTTGTTGACACAGTATATGCATTAAAGGATGAAGTACAGGAGTTAAGACAGGTTAGTAACTTGCTACATATATAGCAACATGGAGAATGGAAAGATAAGGCTTGTTCCTAAAACAAATGCAGGTTGTAAGTTGATTTAGTTTCATAGGAATTAACTCTGGTTTTGGACTAAATTCATATCTGAGATTCAGTTTGAAAAGTAAGCAACACCAATTTGAGAGAGAGCCACCAGCTTTTGTGGTTGTCATTAGTAGCCTTTGGGAAGAACATGATGTATCCTGTGTCTGAGGGGTGTCTTAGTTATGTTTTATGTTTTAGGTGTCTTAGTTATGTTTCGTTGATTTTGGATGTTGCAACTTTTGAAATGTTTAAAGCATTAAATTCAGTTCTGGTGTATTGCAAGCAAAATAAGTACGTAGAGACTGGAATTGCATTTGCTGTTGATTTTTAGTAATATAATTATTTGGATTTACCTAGGCTTTGATTTACAGTCTTCCAGTGACCTGAACACCTCCTACAAATACTCATTTCAGGAGTTGGAATCCTATTGTCTGCCTATCATGTGCCTTTTTTAATGAGGTCTAACCCTAGGGATAGCTTAGTGTGCTTGTTTGTCATGTGGGAAATTCCAGTATATTACACTTCAGTTGCTGTAGGGAAGTTGCAGCTGATATTCTGAGCATGTTTTATATATCTAAATGAGTTATTGTAAAAATCTTTTATTGACAGGACAAAGCCTTTTTAAGCCATATTTATATGCTACTTTACATACTCAGTTCTCAAAACGTAGGTGAAAAAGAATTGAATTATCCCATTCTCCAATGCGTGAATTTGCAAACTGATTTTAACTGAAGCCAGATAAAATCTCTTGTGTTAAAGTAAAATGTGTTTGTATTCAAATTACTTCAATTTTTGAGCTCTAACCATGTATCTGAATTCTTTGCCCATCTGTAAATATTTTTAAGGGTGTTGTGCTTGTTTCTTGAAACAAAACAGTTGACGTATTAATTTTTGCTGTTTTCAGTGTACATTGAAACATATGTATTCTAGGTTTGATGTGAATTTTGCAGTCTTTTTAGAAACAGGTAATATAACTCACTAATATTTCTGTGGCCTGGCTGCTTCTGTACAAAGGGTAGAAGTGCTGCCTCATTGAGGCCCTGCTGATGTCTTTGTGATCCTAAACAAAAAGTCACCCTCTCTTGAACTTAGAGCCACAGCTTGCTTCTTTTTTTTCCTTTTCAAATACACTTCGTAATCTGGCATCTTCCAAGGCCAAGACTTATTAAAGGCGAACTTCGTTTTCTTGTAATATCAGGGATGTTAACTTAGAAGACCATTTTTGGTCTGCTGTTCTGATGTTGCCAGGTGGAGAAGTAGCAAAAATAATCTCTGAGCTGGGAAGGTCCTAAATGACCCCAGAGTTCATGCATAAAAGCTGTGTGGGAGTACATGGTGCACTAGTTAGTGTAGATCCAAGGGTAAACCAAAGTAGGATCCTTCTCATAGTGGTTTTCATCAGTTATTTATCACTTTTTCATCCTGAATTGGCAACAAGTTTCTCAGTACTTACAAGAAAAGGTTGAAATTTCTAAGTTTTTCAAAAATTTGAGGAGAGAATGTAGGCAACTGTTGATCTTGTTCTGTTTGTAGAAATTTCTGTAAATCCCAGCTGATGGGAGTCCAGTGGGACCCCTGGATTGCAGACCTGTTTGTGTTAAACACCCGTAGACTCTTTGTCTTGAGGGCCTTGTCTCATCTTCTGGTTGCTTCCCCACTGTTGCCAGCATCAGCTTGGCCTCTTCAGGATTAATGAATGTAAGAATTTCTATGGTTCGGTCAGAAACATCCTTACAGTCTTGTTGTTTGTGGTATTTCAGTATCATCCAGTGGTGCATTAGTGTATATTCTCAATACTGATGTTCAGTAAAATTCAGAATCGTCTTAGATTATTGGTATTGGTGTGTGTTAAACTTTAAGTCACAAAACACTTCTCCGAGAACATAATGGTTTTTGAGGTACTTCTTTCAGCTGTTTGCTTACTCGCTGAAGGAAGCTAATATGCATTAAGCTTTCAGATGCTTTTCTAGGATTTTAAAGCTAGGTATAATTACAGGAAGTTCTTAGAGGGATACTTATTCTACAGTTGTTGCTCTGTTTCCCTTCTCCATTGACAAGAGAGATTCTGCTGCTGTTGATTAGCTTTGGGCAGAAGAATGCAAGATTACTGGCCATTTGTAACTGGCACTTGCATTATGAAGGACCCCCAAGTCCTTCAAATAAATAGGAAATAGTTTGATCTCTGTTTTTAGTTTTACAATGCGAAACAACTGTAACATTTTAAATTTTATTAAAAGACTGTACTTGTGAATAGTTAATAACATGCTTCTGAATTTGTAATTGATAGTGTGTGTGGTCAGAAAAAATCTTTTCTTAAAACAAAAAAAAAAACCAACCCTCAACCCAAAACTAATAGTTCTGTCTCTGTTAAACAGGATAACAAAAAGATGAAGAAATCATTAGAAGAAGAACAAAGAGCTCGCAAGGACTTGGAGAAGCTTGTTAGAAAAGTTCTAAAGAACATGAATGATCCATCTTGGGATGAAACCAATTTATAACTATTTTTTTTTCTTTCTATTGAAAGACCAGTTGTAAAACTGAGCTGGGAAGCCTTCTGACATTAGTCAGTGTTGCATCAAGAGCACTACAAAACAGGATTTAACTGGATCTGGTGATTTCTTGCTCTGAACATATAGAAACAGTCAAGCCATTCACTGAAGCAATCTGTACGTTAAGTGTGGAGACTGTGGATCCTGAACTCTACTAAACTTAATTTGTTTGCATCTAAATTACCTCATTTTGCAGAGAGTGCAGCATCTGACTAAAAGTCCATGTTTTTCAGTGGCTTTTTAATTAAATATATATATTTTTCTTGTAAATATCTGTAATTTTGAATGCATATGTGGTTGGTATATCAGGGCTGATATGTTGTTTTTTTCCTCTTGTTCTTAAAATGGTCACAAGTGTTAGAAAGGTGGCAGTACTGTCTTAGCTAAGAAGGGTCAGAGTTCTTTGTGGCTAATTATGGATTTGCTCCAAATTACTCACTCATCACACATGCAAATTTAAAAACTTGTTTTTCCTATTGACCAGTGTATTTAAATCCTTTACTGTTATTTATGTCTGCACCTACATTTGAAACAGTTTACAATTGTTTAGAAACAGTATTAAACTACAGAAAATTGTTTGTTGATGGTGGAAACAAATTTTAACAATACTAATGCCCATGATTTATGTTCATGTACTTTTATTTGGCAGACTAATCTGTTGTGCTTTGGCCACCAGAAGACTGATGTACTTGCCTGCTTTTTGACTGTGATTTTTAGGTGTTTATGTACTACATTTTTTTTTGTTGTTGTGCTTAAGCATACAGCTGGCTGGTAATTTAATGGATCATACAGTTTGTTAAAGCAAAAAAAAAAAAAAAAAATCAATCTAATCCATAATTTTGTGAATAAATTGTTGCTATTTATTTTTTATGGTCACAACAATTAAATTCTAGCTAACTTTTTTTTTTTTGCATAAGATGCATGGGCCAGGGCAAACTTCACTCAGAGCTTTGTTTTTTTTCACCACTGTTTAAGATTTGGGTTGGAATTCCCAAAGTGTGGAAGTAGCCATTCCTTTCCCACCCTGTTTTCTCAGCATACTGCTGGTTTCTGTCTGCTAGGAGTTAAATGGAAACAACCTGGAAATGCTATTTTTTTTCATCATACTGTAATTCATTTTTTTTTGCATCACTGACAGATTGGAAAATACATATCATGAACATACCTGAAGACTTTTATTCCCTAGTCTGATAGGTGCAATTACCACAATCCTTCCCCTTCTTTAAAGTAGGAGATGCTACATTACCACAGATGTCGAGCTTCATTTGGAGCACTTAAAATACCCATTCAATACTCATTGTGAGAGTCCCCTTGATTTCAGTAAACTGTGGGTCAAACTGTAGGTGGTACAACTTTCTCAGGAGTTTTTCTTCACTTGACAGCAGATGTGCAGGTATAGCGCAGACTCAAGTTGCACCTTTTGCCATCTTGATTTTCTGCTGCCCATTAAATGTAAGCAAATGTTTATGTAAACTGTAACGAATTGATGCCAAAATGGTTAGGGTGGTAAAAATTATCATGCACATTGTGAATCTAATGAAAAATATTTTGAAAGCTGTTCTTTCTAGGAAAATGTGGATAGCTTTCTCTCTTTTTTTTAATAGGAAAGAATATTAATGATTACATTACTGCAGAATTCAGTGAGAATGGGTACTTAATCTGAACTAGTGGTCTGATTTTAAAAACCGAATAGATTTCTAGTATTTTCATCTGTGTTCCTCTGATTTCTAAAGGTCTTCCTTTAGATCTAAAGGAGCAGACTGGCTAAGAAAACTTAAGAATGTCTGCAATATCTAGTTAAATATACTGACTGAACTTTAAGTTTTTGGCAATTCTTGATAGCAAAATCTTTTCCTAGCAAAATCGTAGCAGTTGCACAAAGAATGTGCTGGCATTTACAATGATCTTCATCTTTAGAAAATGATCTTGCTAAAAGCTAAGTGATATTAAGCCCTGCAAATTCATGGCTAATTGGCTAAATTTAGGGTCGAGAATGACAGTGTAATTAAAGTTTTGCTAACACTTTTACTTCTGACATTAAGGCCGTTCTCAGATTGAATTGTAACTTTCAGTTGAGCATATGTGAAAGGACATTCCAGAGGAAGTAAGTATAAAAGGAGAAACATGAATCTTAGCAGTATTTAGCAAATTTTAACTCAGGAACAACTTGGATCATAACATAACTTTGTTTTACATCATATTGTAAAGAGTAGCATTGCTGTGTAAATTTGCTGACGCGTAGTACCTGTGGTTACAATAATTTCTGACAGTACCCCTATACTGATATCTAATGAACATGCCTTAAACACTGGGATCAAGCAGATGTTAAATATGACCAGGACTTGGGGACTGATTTTATTTAAGGTGGATTGGGATGATGAATTTTTACAAAAAAAAAAAAAGAAAAAAAGCTTAAAAAAAACCAAACCAAACCCATGTAATATTATATGTAGCTCTTGTCCCTAGCTCTAGCACAGAGAGCGAGATTCAGGCTTTTGGGAACCAAGGAATATCTGAACTTTTTTCTTTTACAATTTGTTATACTGTATATAGAGTGTAAATTTCACCATGGACCTTCTGAATTGTTGGAAACTTTATATAAGCATGGATAAAAGGGGCACTGTTTATTTAACCTATTAAAGGGTTATTTCTTTGCTCTCATCATTTAGGGATGAGGAGATGAAGCCATTTCTTATCCTGTAGATGTGAAGCACTTTCAGTTCTAAACTGTCCAAAATGTAGCATAACATTTTTCTGTACTTATTGATGTATGCGTGTTTGTCTCACCATGTCATGGCATCTTAAAGATTAAACAACTGACTGCCTTTGTATAAACTTTCTTAATGCCAGTTATTTAGTGCATTTAGGGTGTCTGTTTACAGTATCTGTGGAGAAGTCAAGTTTAGTTTAGACATCACAATAATATCCTGGTATCGACTACTAAAGTGTTCATGCTACATTGTTGTAATTAAACCATGGTTTTCCCCCTACCTAATGAAGTGTTACATTTAATCTAATTGCGTGGCTTATGAGGTTGAGAAGGAATACCTGTTGGTTTTGTTCTTTTAAAATTACTTTTCATAAAAAATAACTCTATTTAGTAGCTGGAATACTGTCTTGAAAGGACCTTTTCATCATCTTTTATACCAGCAAATCAATGCCTTGAAAACAAAACCAAGCAACAGTTGTTGAGAGGGGTGTGAGCCATTTGCTTAAAAAAAGTATCAGTCTTTCCAAAAGATATTTGAAGGGGTTAATAACTGAGCTTAGATTTGTGAAATAAAGCATCTATTTCAGTTCAGTTTAGCAAGGAGGTATTCTTAGAGAATAAGAAGAGGACTTGAAATGGAGCATTGTACAACTTCTCTTTGAAGAATTTTTTTTCCCACTCTTCTCTTGGTTCATCATTGTAGAAGTAGGTAGAAGGTAGAAGAAGGTTGTTTGTTTAACCACAATTTGAAATCCACATTTACTTTTCTTATTGTGTTGTTCTTCCCACCATCCCCTTTTTGTATGTCTTTTGTTTTTGTGGGTTGACCTTACTTTGTTGCCACATCTCCACTCAGTCATTCTTACGTTCCTCAATAGGAGATGGGGGAGAGAGTAAGATGGTGCAGCTTGAGATAACGACAGTGGGATCACTTACTAGTCACTTCAAGAACATCAATTTATTGCCAATTAAAAACAGAGACAAGTGGTGAGAAAGAAAACAAACTGAAAACTTTCCCCAAGCTCTCCCTACTTCTCAGTCTCAACTTCACTCCTGGCTCTTCTGCCTTCCCTTCACTGTCCTTACTGGCACAGATTGGGCAGGGAGTTGGGAGTTGCCATCTGTCCATAGCAGTTCCTCCCACACTCCTTGCTCCTCGTGCTTTTACCTATTTCAGTTTGGGATCCTCCATGGACTGCAGCATGGAGGTCTGCCCTGATGTCTTCATGGACTGCAGGGAGGCAGCCTGCTTTGCCATGGTGGTCTTCAGAGCCTGTGGGGCCCATCTCCGCTCTGGCATTTGGAGCACCTCTTCCCACCCCTCCTCTGATCTGTATGTTTTGCAGGGTGGTTTCCTCAGTCTTTTCATCACTGCTGCACTCTTAAATATCTTCTGCCAGAGGTGCTACCAGCCTGGCTGATGGTCTCATCGTGTCCTGTGGTGGGCCATTGTGGAGCTGGCCAGAACTGACCATATCCATTATGGATGGTCCCTGGCCTCTTATACAGATCATGCTGCAGGCCTTGGTGCCACCAACTTGCTGTAAGCCCAGTGCATTTAGTAATGCCCAGGAGTGGGTTCACTGGGATTGGGAAATGTCCCCAAAACCTGTGTATAGTACACCAAAACTACTGTCAAGTTTGGTAGGTAGGTACACCTTATGGCAGATGTGAGTGGGAAATAGTAGCCTGATAGGAACAGATCAGGAACGTTTGGCTTTTTTGTATGCTTTGGGAGTATGTCAGTGCTGGCCACCCTTCCTTCAGGCAGTGCTGAACCTGAAGCTGAAAATGATATTGCAGGTTGTGCTGGTAGAAGCTGCAGATTGAAAATACAGCAGATAGAAGATACGCTGCTGCCAGCACAGCACAAAGTTATTTCTGCTCACATTGTGACGGGTTTCTGAGGAAGTCTAAAAAGATCTTGGGATGCTTTTCACTACAAATGATTGCAGCTGCGCTAGCATTTCTAATTTAAGGCTATGCCTCCAATATGCTGCTATTTGTCCAAGGGGTATCTAATTTGCGTCCTGATGGATCTGCTGCATGTAGTAGGCTCAGACATTTAGGTACAGAACCCAGTGTAACCCAATTGTTTTAAACTCTTTTACTCTATCTCATACAGCAACAGATGGGTAAAGAGAAAGTATGAAACTGCTATTAATTATAGGAGTGAGAGGCCTAAAATCATCGGAGGGTATGTTTGGTGAAATGGGAGATGTAGATGAAATGTATGTGTTTGTATGCGCTGATGCTGAGCTGTCATGGAATTGTGGAGTTTGCCCTTAAGAGAAATGCTGAGATGAAATTTGAGATGGATTTGCTCTGCAAGGCATGCTCTGTAATTGGGAGAAGGGATGTGGACTTGCTGTGTTTCACCTGGTGTGCTCTGTGCTTCAGCTTTCTCCTGGCATGAACCAAGTATAATCTTGGGATGGTAGTTGAGCCTGGCCTTGGGGCTAAATCAGCCTTCTGAGCTCTTTATTAATTTATGTGGCCAAATTCTTATGTTAAAAGAAGATGAGAGCTAAAGTTCAATGAGTTACTGTGAACAGTGATGATTTTATTGCTATTTAAATAGCAAAAATCATGGCAGTCCAAAACTTGCCCATTAGTCCCTTAATATTGGTACTGATTTCCTTCCCTTCTTTGCTTGCATGTGCACAGGCTGTCTCTGCATGGCAGATGTTAACACGTGCTTTACTTAGAAAATTTTTTTTGAATATGTTTTTGAAGCTCCAGAGAAATAACATCACCTATTAGCCTCCACTATGAGAACAGGCTGAGAGAGCTGGGGCTCTTCAACCTGGAGAAGAGTCCAAGGAGACCTTATGGCCTTCCAGTACCTGAAGGGGCCTACAGAAAGGCTGGGGAGGGACTTTTTATAAGGGCATGGAGCAACAGGATGAGGGGAAATGGCTTTAAAACTGCAGGAGGGTAGATTGACTAGATGTTAGGAAGAAATTCTTTACTGTGAGGGTGGTGAGACACTGGAACAGGTTGCCAAGTGAGGTTGTGGATGCCCCCTCCCTGGAAGCATTCAAGGCCAGGCTGGATGGGGCTTTGAGCAACCTGGTCTAATGGGAGGAGTCCCTGCCTATAGCAGGGGGTTGGAACTACGTGATCTTAAAAATCTCTTCCAACCTAAACCACTCTATGATTCTTTGAACCTACTGTTCCACTGGACAAAATTTACCAGACACGGGCTGAAAGGATTTAAAATTTGAAACTTAAAATTTGACCTAGCCATGAATATGTTTTTTGTGTGTGTTTTTACCATTTCTGTGGGGCACACATGAATCACTGTAACGTCTACATATCTGGTGTCATGAGGGATCTCAGTACAATGCAGTGTTGAGATAATGTGCTGTGATCAGCAGCTCATTTAATCTTAGAGCTTGTTATGAGGCAGGCAGAATTTCAGGGAAACTGAGAAATATTCACTGCTGTAAGACATGTCTCATCCATTCCCCAAGGTCCTCTCTTGCACAGTTTACTCCATCCACTACTGTCTCTTGTTGGTATCTACTTCATCAAGTGATACTTCTGCTGAAGATGCTACTTGATTCTACTTGAAGATGCAGAACTGTCTTACTTGTGCAAGGTAGAACACTGTATAGTGGTCTTAACTAGTAAAACGAGGGAAGCTTGTTTACCAAGGACGTGAAACTACATGTTCAGGAATCTGATGCTGGGCTACTGGAACACCAGTATTTCACAATGGTTTGTGCCTCAGCATTCAAACCTTGTTCCATGTATTTGCTGAGATTCTTACTGAGCATCTTTGCTAGTGATGCAGACAGTGGGATCAAGTGCATCCTTAGCAAGTTTATGGATGACACCGAGCTGAGTGGTTGCAGTTGACACAACAGAAGGAATGGATGCCTTCAAGAGGGACCTGGACAGGCTTGAGAGGCAGGCCTGTGCAAACATGTTCCAAAAGACCATGTGCAAGGTCCTGTACTTCAAGTTGCAGCTGAGATGCAGGCAAGAGGTGCAGATTCACATCTTGAATGTGGTGACTCCTCTTGCAGGTACCAATAAGATGTCCTGGACTTGCTGCTGAGGAGCTCAGGTCCTACCCAGTGTGTTTCCTGTCCTGTTTGTTTCCAGAGGTTCTGCTGGGTTTCTCACTGGTGTAGTCATCTGTAAATGTTTTCCAGGGCCCTATTCTATCTCGGTCCTGCACGCAGTTTCTTAACTTAAAAGATGGATAGATTTTGTTGTGAGAGAACACATACTTTTTGTCTATTACTTCATTAACAGCAGAAATGATTGCAACCAAGTTGCTTCTTTGCTTCAACAAAATAATTTGTCGTCTTAGTGGTCAATGATCTTCATCTCTTCAGTACAGCCTTCAGCATGAGTGACCTCACGTTGTTTGGTGGAAATAATTAAACTCGGTATTTACTGCCATCAGTGCTGGGGGTTAGGGAAAGGTTCTGCACCAGAGGGCGATGGGCATGGAACAGGCTGCCCAGGGCAGTGGGCACGGCCCCAAGTGCTGGAGTTCAAGGAGCATTTGGGCAGCACTCTCAGACGCAGTGTTTGGATTTTGAGTGGCCCTGTGTGCAGCCAGGAGTTGGACTTGATGGTTCTTCTGGGTCCTTTCCAACTCAGAACATTCTATGATTGTATGTTTCCTTAAAGGTTTCATCATATTTTTTCCATTTGTAAAGAGTTGCATTCCTCAGCCAAGCATAGATGTTCTTCTGTAAGTGACTCCTCAAATATGGTTTTCCTGGTTACAGAAAGCAAATGAGATTTGAGTGTTTATTGCTAATCCTTGCTACGTAGTTCTTGTTTTCTGATTATATCTTCTGACACAGTTTTCTGGTGTTCATTTGAACAAGCTGATTGGGTGTTTCATCCATCAACTTCTGTCCCCAGGGCTGAGATATCCTTATGTTTGAATAGCCAGGGGATGTGGTAGTTTTCTGATTCATTTTTTCCAATTAATCATTGAGAGCTGATCCCTTCAGTTTACCTGACCTGGCTCTAAGGCCAGAAGATCAAAAGTGTCAGCTGCTTCCTCACCAGAATTTGTCCATCTGAATGATGGGTTTTACCATAGTGCTTTATCAAACATCTGAAGTGGAAGCACCCTTGGTAGCCAGAGGCTGATGGCAGAGCTCCCAGCTGCACTAGCAGCCTCATAGGTCCTGTCTGTTCAAACAATCTGCAGAAGGGTTGTACCAGTTTAACCAGTGCATCAGCAGTGGTATAATGCTAATGAAAAGTAAAAACTACAATCAGTGCTGGTGTAAAGGATTTCCCAGC